CAGAGCCCGGGAAGGATGTGGAAAAGCACCAGACACAGGGGCATAATGAGCAGTGGAGAAAGCACAGAGGGAGAACAGAGAATTGGAACAGGCCCGCGAGGAGCCAGGCACCTTAACAAGATGGGTACACATCTCGAATGCTTTAATGAGACAGGACAATAGCTAAGGGACAGGACAATAGCTAAGGCTAAGGCTATATGTGGAACATGTATAGTGTAGAAGTTACTACTTTTAAAGCTACTTTAAGCTTCTTAACCAGCCCTTTTTTTTTTTTTTTTTTTTTGACAGGCAGATTTAGACAGTGAGAGAGAGACAGAGATAAAGGTCTTCCTTTCTGTTGGTTCACCCCCAAATGGCCGCTACAGCCGGTGCTGCGTCGATCCAAAGCCAGGAGCCAGGTGCTTCCTCCTGGTCTCCCATGCAGGTGCAGGGCCCAAGCACTTGGGCCATCCTCCACTGCCTTCCTGGGCCGCAGCAGAGAGCTAGACTGGAAGAGGAGCAACCGGGACAGGATCCGGCACCCCAACTAGGACTAGAACCCAGAGTGCCGGTGCTGCAGGTGGAGGATTAGCCAAGTGAGCCACGGTGCCGGCCTACACTTCAGTCTTTTAATTTATATTTCATTTTATTTTTGAGACAGAGAAAGAGAGACTGATCATCCATCTGCTGATTCACTTCCTGAATTCCCACAACAGCCAAGGCTGGGCCAGGTCAAAGCCAGGAGCCAGGAACTTGACCTGGGCCTCCCACATGTCTAGCAAGGACCCAAATGCTTGAGCCATTCCCCACTGCCTCCTAGGGTGTACACTGCAGGAAGCTGAATCAGAGGCAAAGTAGCTGGGACTCAAACTAGGGACTCTGGTCCAGGATGCAGGCATCCCAAGCAGCAACTCAATGACTGAGTCACATACCCATACCTTTAGTCTTTTATATGATTCGGTACCAAAGTTTGGAGTCCCTGCTAAGGGTCTGTGATGGTGGCAGCCTCCTAGTGTGAGAACCCTGGTATCATCAGCAGGGTGGCCAAAAGTGCCACGCATTTCAGAAACAGGGGCAGTTCTAGGAAGGGTCATAATCTACCCTGTTTCTTTGAAGGCTTAGAACACAATTATGTGGGGTCAGCGCTGTGGCGCAGCGGGTTAACGACCTGGCCTGAAGTGCCGGCATCCCATATGGGCACTGGTTCTAGTCCTGGCTGCTCCTCTTCCGATCTAGCTTTCTGCTATGTCCTGGGATAGAAGTAGAACATGGCCCAAGTCCTTGGGCCCCTGCACCCGTGTGGGAGACCTGGAAGAACTCCTGGCTCCTGCCTTCAGATCAGCACAGCTCCAGCTATTGTGGCCACTTGGGGAGTGAACCATCGGATGGAAGCCTCTCTCTCTCTCTCTCTCTACCTCTCCTCTCTCTCTGTAACTCTTTCAAATAAATAAATAAATCTTTAAAAAAAAAAAAAGAACACAATTATGCAAGGAAACAAAACTTTTAAAATCAGAAAAAAACTTAAAAAAAGAAAACCTTGTATGCTATAGAATAGTACCCAGTAACTGCCTGACAGCCTAGGTTAAATGGGAAGGAATCAGGTTACTACTAACAGAGTGATTAAGCCCCGGTCATCCAGATGTCTCCACTTCAAGTCATAGAATCCCCAACGCAAACTGGATTGAACACAACAGGGAACTTCTTGCTGTGAAACAGGGGAGCCCAGAGTTTGTTCAGGGCGCAGGCCCTGTGTCCCCACTGTATTGTGCTCCCAGATTGGTTTCTCCACACTGCTGCTGTCACAGCAAAGGCCATGATTCCTCCTTCACTTAGAGGGGAAAGAGAAACCACTGCCTCAGCAAGTAACCCAAGGACTTGAACTTTGCTCAAATTGTCCCCTCTGAGCTAGTCGCTGTGGCTGGAAAGGCCATGTGCCAGGGACCTAGGTCTGCCCACCATCAACTGATCCCCAGGGCAGGAAAGATGGGGTCACAGCAGTGAACATGCACCAGTTGGAACCCACCCCTGGGACTGGGGATGAGGTCACTTCCACCTCACATTCATGTCTTGACACACGGGGAGGAAGGAGCACAGCACGGGTACGCAGGGCACTGATCCACCACTGGCCAGCGTGTGACCCATACAAGCTTTTTTTTTTTTTTTTTTTGACAGGCAGAGTGGACAGAGAGAGAAAGAGACAGGGAGAAAGGTCCTCCTTTGCCGTTGGTTCACCCTCCAATGGCCGCCACGGCCGGCGCACCATGCAGGAGCCAGGCGCTTCTCCTGGTCTCCCATGGGGTGCAGGGCCCAAGCACTTGGGCCATCCTCCACTGCACTCCCTGGCCACAGCAGAGAGCTGGCCTGGAAGAGGGGCAACCAGGACAGAATCCAGTGCCCCCACCGGGACGAGAACCCGGTGTGCCGGCGCCGCAAGGCGGAGGATTAGCCTAGTGAGCCGCGGCGTTGGCCCCATACAAGCTTTGAGACATGGGTTGTCTCTTCAGGCCAGTCTTCGTACCATGTTTGTATGACTGCGGAGAGCATACTCTATTTTTGTCTATGTGATAACTACCAAATTAATATTTAAGTAAAAACTGAGGCAGTTATCTTTCAAGGATCTTACCACATTCATATCACATATTTATATTAAAAGAATTGCAAAATGAGCCGAAGTTGACGTATGTTTTTCCCACCTTTCAGATTCCTGAGTTTGATTTCATAGCATCAGCCAAAGTGTGGCCCTTTCTCACATCATTAACAGGAAGGAAAATGGTTGCAATTTCTTGAAGAAAATTTGGGCAATATTCATCAAAACTGTAAGTGCATTTACACTTTTTTTGCTTCGTTTTCAAGAATTTCACTTCTAGAATATTTTCTGCAGATTTATCTATTTTTGAAAGAGGGAAAAATTGCAAGCAACTTAAGTCTGCTTGAACAGAGGACTGGCTAAAGGGCATTCCCTTTGCAACCCCTGTAATGGAGACCAGGCTTCTGTACCAGACCAAGGAAGCCCTCTCTGTGCAAATCAGAAAATCTCCAAGACAGAATGTTGAGGAGAAAAGAGCTAAATGGTGTGCAAATGTGCAATCTTTTGGTATGAGAGAGGAGATCTTTTTTCTGCATGTTTTATATCTTTTTATAGTGTTTTCACTTAGAAATCTCGGCTATGTTCTAACTGTTCAAAAATTAAGACACTACAAAGCTACATATTAAAAAGTTAAAATGTGTGTTTGTGGGGTCAGCGCCGTGGCGCATAAGGTTAATCCTCCATCTGCGGTGCTGGCATTCCATATGGGTGCCGGTTCTAGTCTCGGTTGCTGCTCTTCCGGTCCAGATCTCTGCTGTGGCCTGGGATAGCAGTAAAAGATGGCCCAAGTCCTTGGGCCCCTGCACCCACATGGGAGACTGGGAAGAAGCACCTGGCTCCTGGCTTCCGATCAGCGCAGCTCCAGCTGTTGCGGCCATTTGGGGAGTGAACCAAAGGAAGGAAGACCTTTCTCTCTGTCTCTCTCTCTCACTGTCTATAACTCTCCCTGTCAAATAAATAAATAAAAAATCTTTAAAAAAAATGTGTGTTAGTATTAGTCTGTTTTCTGTTACTATAACAAAATACTGGAGACTGGGTGTTTCGTGAAAAAAAAAAAAAAAAGGTTTATTTAGTTAGTTTTGGAAGCTGAAAGTCCAAGATCAGGTGGCCTCATCTATTTGGCCTCTGGTGAGAGCCCTTTTGGCTGCTTTGCAACGTGGCAAAGAAGTGGGACAGGAAATGGCCGTGAGCAGAGGGGCCAAGCACATGGGTATCCTCACTTTACAGTAACCTGCTCTTGTGAGAGCTAACCAGGGTACCAAAAGAGCTATATTAATCCCTTCCAAGGTCAGCACCCCAACCTCTACCCAGGGCTCCATTTCTTAAATGTTCCACACAGCCACACTGGGTCCAAACTTCCAGCACATGAGCTTGGGGAGACCAACCAGATCCAACCACAGCCATGTTCTTCTCCAACACTTCACAAGAAAAACTTTACAGAGAGTTCTCATATTTTCAGAAATTACACCCTAGCCTTTTTCTATGTCAGTTGTTGTCTCAAGACTGTTAAAGTAATAAAGAGATAATGACATAATATTATTTGCTAATCTTGAGAGGCACTCCAATTTTCCATTCCAGGTTTGCTTAAATCTACAAGTATTTTGGCTCCTTTATGCCATACAGTCAATTTGGTCTTCCCCAAAGAACTTTTTAGTCCAACCTTTGAGGCAACCTCACACATCTACCTACCTTTCTTTCTCACAGGATCCTATGTTTCCCATTCGTTTCAGTTTGAAATTAAGGATTTTGTGTAATCATTTTATTTTGTTATACTAAATAGACTGTAAACTTCATGATGCTGGGGATGCATTTATTTGCAAACCATTGTACCCCCAGTGCTCAATGGCATGTTATTAATTGTATTCAATAAATATTTTCATATTGGACTAACTGTATAGTTATTGTCGCTCCCCCATTCGCGGAGGAACGACACTGGACCCTGCGTTGTTCTTTTTGCCCGGCCCTTCCCAGGTTAGCTGCCATTCCCTCACCCGCGGAGGAACGACGCCATCCCGGGTTAGCTGCCGCCCTCCCCCCCCCTCCGTGGAAGGGCGGCACCCCCGCCACTTTCCCCGCTTCCGCGGAGGAGCGGCACACCACCGGCCGGCTCTATCAGGGGTTGCTCAGATGTTCCTCAGATGTTCCCCAGTGCATATTGTCCCTCTCTTCCTTTATAGTCCTCTTCCACCAATCCCAACCCTGCTGCCCACACGCCGAGCACGCTGCTCTCCTCCAATCAGGAGCAGGATCAGCTCCTGCAGTTTATCAGTCAAACTGGTGAGGCAGCTGTGTAGAAGTTGTTTGCTTGCTCTCAGCGCCATATTGTGGGAGATCAGATGCATAGAATTAGTCCTAGTTCCAGTAATTTAGTCTAGTCTCAGTTGCTTCCCACAGTTATTGACAAGGGTTGAAAACTATTTGGAGACAGTTCAAATTCTAGGTTATTGCACTTTATTAGAACAATAACTGTGTAAATATTTGTGCTAAAGGGAAAAATCCAGACCTTGGAAACAGGGAGCCGTTTGCAGAGGCTCAAGACTCTAGCTATCCATTTGGTTCCAAATCAGTTTTCCCTGTATTGCTGATACACTTTAGACTGATCATTGTTCAATACATTTATTATGCAGCCCACACTCAGGACAACAGCTTGTCTTAGGGGAGTTTAGCTTTCTTCCCTTATCTATTCCAGCCTCTCTCTCCCAAACCACTCCAAATAAATACACCATTATCCCCAAATAGTTTCTTAGGCAAGTAGATCTTCAAGATTTGTTCCCTAAGGTACTGTTTCAGGAAAAATACTATTCATAATGCTCTGCCACACAGGAATTCTGGAGTCTTCATTTCTAGTCCCTCTAACCTTGTGTCTAGCAACACTGATTTGAAAAAGAGGTATATTAAAAATTGAAATGACATAAATTCCTGACTATTCTGCAAAGCTGCTATTGAATTCCTGTACAAAAGACATGTGTTCATAGAGGCAGAGTATAGATTCCTGAAAGCTGATGATTATTTTTCTTGTTCCCTTATCTTCCAGTTCCCATTTTTATTTAACAAATCTTTTTATGGTAGTCTCTTTCAGCAGTTCTATCTGATCCCTTGCTGCCTCTGCTAGATTCTTTCTCTGGGATACCTGCCTATGTCTCCTGTGTTAATCTTCAAACATATCATCATATTCAAACAAATCAAACATATCATTCATTGGCCCAGTAGAATAAAGAAGACTAGATGCTGAAAACCTATGATGAATGTCACAGGATGGGAGTTGTGAAAGTGGCATTTTCACTGGTATTTTTTTACATCCATGAAGCACTTTCCATTCGTTACTGTGGAGGCAACATGGTAGCCTGGTGCCTTTGTCAGTGAATTCAAAGCCCTCTTCCCAGGAATGATCTGGTTTGCACTTCAGGGAGTCAGATGGTGCCTGGAGCTCCCTCACGGTGCTTGAGTTTTCTCCAAAATCCAGTCCAGGTACTTGACCACATTGGTGTAAATGCCTGGCCGTTCCCGCTGTGCACAACCTTCCCCCCAGCTCGTGATGCCCACCAGGTGCCAGACCTCGTTGTGTTTACAGGATAGGGGGCCTCCGGAATCTCCCTATGACAAGAAAATGAAAAAAAGAAAAACACACACACACACACAAAGAGATTGGTTCAGAACTTCCCATCTTAAACAGATTTTGCTCTGAGTGACTTTGCCTCAAGTTCTGTTCTGGTCCTTTCATAAACTCAAAGAACCCAACTGCTGGCTCTCACCCAGTCTGAGCATTTTACGTTTCAGCCTAAGAAAGACAAATCCTGTGGTGTCTGCTCATAGCCCGAAGATACTCTTAAACTCTTAAAATGCTTTAAACATTGCAGGTTGGATATACGCGATTGGTTGAGAACATCTCTTACCTTGCATGCATCCTTCCCCCCCTCTTTATAGCCAGCACAGATCATCCCACTGGTTATTTCATGTCTTTGGTATCTTTTCCGGCATTCTTCATTTGACAACAAGGGTATCTTGGCTTTCTGGAGAGTGTTTTGTATTTTGTCTGAAAAAAATATTGGTTTTGTTTGGTAGAATAATCATAGATACAATTTATGTAAATATTTAGACACATTTACAGTCAATGTCATATCTACATAACAATCTAGAAGGAAAAAATAGGTTTACTCTAGGCCTTTTGTCATTGCAGAGTGTAAAGGAGATGCTATTCCCACTATTAGAAGTGGTATTTTGTTACTGTTAGTTAAGTTTAAAAATTAACTATGACTCTAACTGGAATTATATCCTAGGGAAAACAATTGGATAACCAACTTAGAACATTTATTAAAAAGGGCTGTTTCACATTAAATTTCATTAAAACATAATTAGTCTTTAGTCTTTACAGAGAGTTAGTCATGTGAAAAATTCCCAATCAAACATGACATTATCCTCATGTGGGTGGCTTTGTCTTTCCACATGGATTAATATACTTCTTACATTGGAATAGTGTTGTCTCACTCACATTTCAGCTGTGTGGCTTGATAGAGCAGAAAAGGTGATGATTAAACTGTGTTCTTTCTTTTTAGGATGATGCATATTTAAAGGCATCATGTCTTACCTCTTAGTTTCCTGTACCCCCATCCAGTCACCCAGCAATCAGTGTATATTACATTTCTGTCTCCTTTGGAAGGTAGGCAAATGGGTCGTTGTGAATCTAAATTTTTAAAATCATAGGTTAGTTGTCTGAAGCAAAATGTATCTCGCTTCTCTTAGAGATTCTCTTCTTTTACATTATTTATATCTTCTCCATTTTCTATATTCATTTTTTGCTTGGTTATACATTTCTATATCCCATGTTCATGTCATTCTAGGCACCTAAAGAAGCCTGGAGGAAACATATCTTCACAATAATCCCAAAATAAAATGTAATGGAATTTCATTCTCAACAAATTGAGAGACTAGCTCTACAGAACCCCTGATGTGATAATAACACACAGAGAGCATGGCAGGCACAGGCCATGAACCTAGTAGTGATAACTGTTTTAGCTAGGTCTCCATTGAGGTTAACTCTCCAGTCAAAATTACACCTACCTGTATAATTCATTGTTGTTTCTAGTTTCAACAGGGCAATATCATACCCACTTTCTGCAGTTTTGTATTGATCATGAATTATTATTTCTTGTACCCCAAAGAAAGCCGTATCCTCTTTTATTTCAGATTGGTTTAAAATTCCACCATAGACACGCAAAATTTTAGGAGATTCTATCCTAAGGAGCAAGCAATAGGAGGAAAGAAATTAACTTTACTAAATAATTCACAAACATGTTGAACTTCATAGCATTTTAACTATTACTAATATTATTAATATTTTCTGCCAATGACAGGCTTTTAGGTAGAAAAAAGTGATTTCATCCTAAATTTTTTTCATCTATCCTGCTTAAAATTAATGTACTGAGGTAGCATTAACCGTATATTGTGCATATAGAATGAACAAATGCTTTTCCTACTTGCCAATACACACACATACACACACACACATACACACGTCCTGGGTGCTAGTCTCTATGCTGCTCGTGACAGTCTGTGACCCTGAGAAATTCCTGTGGACTTGCTTGACTGCATTTCCCCAAATGTTAAAGGTAAAGGGAACTCCAGAGCTCAGATGTATCCTTGGGTTATAGTATGAACCTGCACACTGAGCAGAAAACAAACACACAAAAAAAACAGCACACAAAGCTGTGCCTGGAAACAACTCAGAGGACAGTAACGAGCAAGGAGGAAGTTTGGCATACTGTAATTTTCTGGGTTGCATTGTTTCCTCAGATGGAGATTTAGGTTTGGCCAATATTGAAAATGACATAAACAAGGAACCCAATTCAAGGATGCATAATGAACTCTCTGTATTTGGAAAGAAGGGAAGGAGAGAAAGAGAGGATGAATATGAATGAGACTTGGTTCAGAGAACAGGAGTTTCAATGTGAGTTTAGTTCTGGGCACAATGCACAGGGGGTGATAAGCTCTTACAGAAAGCAAGAAAGCCTCGGAAAGTATGTGTGCATTTAATTAGGAAAATGAGATAACATGCAGTCAAACAGCGGTGTTCCTGCACCTATTCAACTACTGGTAGATCATGAGTATTTCTTGATTTTTTTTTTTTTTGCTTTTTTTCCCTCTAAAGATAGGAAATTAACTTAATAAATAAGAAAATCTACCTTTAAATATGTGTTTACTGATACTCAACTAATAGTTTGCATATGTGTGTGTGTGTGTGTAGTTAGTGAGCTAATGAAAATAGCAATGGCACTGACCCATAGAAGCAATGAGCAGCTGTTAATATCCACTGGTTTCCAATGATGGAGCCTCCACACAGGTGTCTCTGGGTGGGTGACACAGTGTGCAGGGTTACCTGCCAAGGCCACTCGCCGGGAAGAGAGGCAGATCCTCCAACAATCCTGGGCTTGATCTTGGTTGTGCACACTACAACAGAAAGATTGCAGTGAGTAGCTTCCCACTGTTAACTTCCCATCAGTAGTTATGCTCCTTCAAGTAAAAAAAAAATTAAAAAAAGAAGAAATATTCCTTCAGTTCCATAGTTCACCATGACATTGAGTTGAAGACTTTATCATCAAATTGATAAAGCAAACCATGCACATGAAAGTTGACCAAGTCATCTTGTAATCGCAGGCCACACAAAACGCTGCCATCTCCATCTGCTGCCACAAGGCAGTCTATCCTTCAAATGATGATACTGACGGTTTTTAAGTTCCCCAGGAGCAGTTCCCAGACCAACAGAACCCCCTGAGAACTTGCTAGAAATCCAAATGCCTGAGTCCCGCCCCAGATCTAGTGAATCAGAAACTCCAGCTGTGGAGCCCAGAAATCTGGGTTTTGAATCAGCCCAAGGGAAGTTTGAGAATTAATTTTATGAACAAAACTTGAGAACCTTCCATTCAGTTTGCAGCCTTTGCCTGATGCCTCCCCTTCTCAGGGGGCAGACTTTGGCTCCTACCCACACTCCTGCTTTATCCACATCCAAAACAGGACTGAGTTTCTTTCCATGAATTTCTTCCACTTTTTGGCCTTGTTGACAGTTTGAGGTTCTCCTGGGACCACCTTGGCCCTCTCTAATGATTTAACTGACTCATCCCCTTTTTCTTTCCCCTCCTGGCTGCTGCCCTGGACAGGATAGTCCATCTCCTATCTACTTTCTGCGTTGCATAACACACTAATGCAAGCTCCTGACTGGTGTTTTGGCCAAATTGGCTGCAAAACCCAGACGGTGCAGGAGGGAGATGTTCACAGGTGGCGGTATTCTAGAGCAGCGCATCTCAAACTTCAAGTGCTTGCAGATCACCTGAGTATCTTTTAAAACACAGATTTTGATTCAGTAGGTCTGTGGGGAATGCTGAAATTTGCTTTACCAAACTCCCATCTGATGCCAACATGCTGGGGCCAGACTACTTCCAATGGCAGAGCTCAGAGGGTGAGAGCAGCTTCATGTCCTGAGCTACAGGAGGACTGTGCAGTTAGCAGAAGAGCCCCCCATGAAACATCAGGTCCTAGATGTCTACTAGTTTTGTACGAGTACGCAATATTTCCAAGCCTTTATTTTCCCTCAATAGGAAAATGAACATACAATACTGGAGGAGATTTCAAATAGAAGGACAGAACAGGAAAAGGAGTTCAGAAGGCAACACAAGCTACCAGCAAGCTGAGGTAAAAATGAATGTGATGTGTTTGTGGGAGCCAGGATGGTGTTCTCACTTATGTATGAAGAGGAGGGGGGTCAGCGTTGTAGTATAGCTGGTTGGGCCACTCCCCTGCAACACTGGCATCCCATATGGGTGCTGGCTCAAGACCTAGCTGCTCCACTTTCAGTGCAGCTCCCTGTTAATGCACCTGGGAAAGCAGCAAAAGATGGCCCAAGTGCTTGGGTCCCTGCATACATGTGGGAGACTCAGATGAAGTTCCTGGCTCCTGGCTTCCTCCTGGCCCTTCCCTTGCTGTTGCAGACATTTGGGGAGTGAGTCTATCCCTCTCCCTCTCCCTTTGTAACTTTGCCTTTTAAATAAATTAAAAATATATCTTAAAAAAAGAGTGGGGATATTTCTTTTGAAGGGACATTCTAAAATATTTTAACTCTATTCTGAAACTTCTGACATAAAGAGCATAAAACAAATTTTAGGAAAATTACGAAGGAAAGCTATAACTGCTTATAAATAGCTCAATGTAAGACCTAATGAGGTACAGGTCATAGTTCTTTATGTTCACTATTTGGTTTCTCAGTTTAAACAAAATTCTGAAAATAGAATGTTCAAATTTATTAAGAAATGTTTATTTTAATAGCATTGTTACTTATCTTCAGAAAATGAATTTATGTTCTAAACCAATAATAGTCTAGGACATGATAAACATCACAGACAGACATATCCTGTCCTTTCAGGGTGTTATTTCATCTACTAATGTACAGTAAAACTTGTGATCTAATTTTCTTACTTCAGAAAATGCACTAAAAAACCCAAAGTTTTCTCTTTTCTTTTCTCTAATGTTTTCTCCCACAATTATCAATCTCCACCTGATATATATTCTGTATATCCTACAGGCAAGAGTCTATAATTTCAGCAGAGAATATAATGAAAGATGTTGAGTACAAAACAGAATTTTCTAAGTGTCCCTCCATTGACTATTGTTTAAAGTCCTTGTCTATACTCTTGAGGAACAGTGGTTTTTCTACTTACTACTTGTGTAGAATTCTTTATTTAGTGGAGAATTAAACTTGTGGTTGTAAAGTATATTTAAAGTATGTCATAGTAAAAATTAAAAGAAAATAAGAAATAAAGGAGAAGAGAGTGTGGGAACATGGGGGAGAGGAAGGATAGTGTAGGAAGTATCACTATACTCTTAAATCTGTAAATATGAAATACATAAAATTTATTCCCTTTATATAAATTTTTAAAAATTGAAAAAAGAAGTGGAATCAAAATGACTGAATTATTTTGAGTGCTTCTTCTTGTCTTGGGCAAAGTTACTGTGAGGAAAATAGAGAAAGTAGGAAATACAACTTGATTGGTTTTTATAAGATGCTGAAGCCATCCAGAGATTTTCATGAGAGCACCTATAAACTCTAGGCAGGCAAAATTTACTAGTTAGGACGTTAGCATTGAGCGAAATATTCTTCTGTACGTTCCATGAGATAAGTTCACAGACATTAAAGATTGATTCATCCAGTACAGCAAGCATTCTCACTGCCCCTATTTTTATACATCTAAAACTGTAAACTTCTAAAGCATGGTTATCACTTTCACTTTATCCATTAAATCTCAGTTGCACCTTAATTCATAATGCATTATAACATTGGACATTAAACAATAAAGTCAAAAATATGTAGCTTTATGTAAATTAGTAAATAGTAAGATGGAGCAGATGTTGGCCTCAGTGGTTGAGATCACGCAGGGCATCTGCATCCCAGGATCGAGTGTGTGCCCGGTTTGACCAGCTCCACTCCTTGTGCCAACTTGATGCTAATGAGCACCCTGGGAGGCAGAAGGTAATGGATCAAGGACTTGGGTCCCTGACACCGACATGAGTGACCCCAACTGAGTTCTTGGCTGCTGGCTTAGGCCTGGCCCAGCCTTGGCCATTCTGGGCATTTGGAGGGTTAGCCAGTGGTTGGGAGCTCTCTGAATCTGTCTCTCTGCCTCTGAAATAAATTAAATACATTTTTAAAAATAATCCTAAAATAGCAAAGCCATAATATATTACCACAGTGATTTAGGGGGAAGTGTTTGTAGTTTGTTCTTTCCTGTTGGGATTCTGTCCCTTAAAACAACTCTACTTGTACATAAATTATCCCTTGGTTCTGTGCTTAGAAACTGGCCACTGAGATGGAAACACTGCTGATCTGATTTTCATCATAATTATTGTTAATTGTAAGTCTTGTATACAGATAACCTTTGTATTTGTGCCTAACCATATTCATTGTTACAAATCAAGGTTAACTTTGGCCAATTTTCATATCTGCAGAACTCTTGCAGGGAATATGGAAGAATGAAGCCCCCTGAAAATGAGTCACTCTAGTGTTTCATGAATAGATACATAATTTTGAGAACAGTTGATGGTTATTTAGGTTTCATACAAAGATTATAAGAAAAAAAATTTGATTAGCCAAAGTACTGATTAATTCAATTATCAGGTATAATAAGAAACATCCTTGGTCTTGATAACGGCCAGACATAAGAGCATTAGCTGAGTTTGAGTGTTACCAGTTGAATAAATGCATCAAATTTAAACACATATTCAATTAATATTAGAAATTTAATAATTTGGTCAAGACCCAGTATTTACCTTCAAAACATGATTAGCTTGGGTGATAGGAGTGAAGATAACAGAAAATTGCTAAATTAGCTATTTTTCTAATTTTCTCCTTTCTCTATTTTTGACTCTGTTATGATTTATTCAGTGCAGAATAACACATTCATATGTTTTTTGAGTGATATTGCACTCACCATTATCCATTTTACATAATCTTAATGTATATCCAGAGATGCCACCTCTCCCATGAAGTATTTTAGTAGGAGATCCATTTGAAGAAAGTTTCAAGTAACATGTGCCCCTACAGTTAAAAACAAAGTGGTATGAATGTAATGTACCTCTCAAAGAAATGGGACATGGGCATCTAGGTAACATAAATATGCCTTACTTTCCTTTGTTGTGAGATTCTTGAGATGAAGAATAGGTAAAAAATTGGCATCGGATGGCACTGGTACACATTTTCTGGCAGGCTTCGTGCCCTTTCACGTCAACAATGTCTAGTTCTTCTCCCAAGAAATCAGTGTCGTAGTAAAATGAAGAATGGCAGAACACTAGACAACAAATCACATATCAGATATAAGACTCAGAACCTTGACATTCATCAGTCTCCTAAAGACTTGCTGATATCAATCGGAAGTACTTTCATTGCTTACCTGGGATGCTATGCCTGCAGTTTTGTAGACTGAAACCAGAAAGAGCTTGGTTCTTGTGAATGCGTGTACTTGGTAATCCACTTTCAGATGTCTTAAGGAGACAAAGATTTCTAACCAAAAAGAAAATTGAAATAAAAACACAACACATAAAACATATCAAAGAAAAAACATTTTTACAGCACCTATGGAAGGTAAGATCAGCTTCTGCTGGCATTTATTAGCAAAACTTTTCCTATTTTGAAAGAATGTGCCATGAATCATTGAGTTTCACTCTATGACCCATTGATTGTAGACAGAGTTTCAAAATGACCACTTGGTTCTGTAAAATTTTTCTGAGCTTATTCTGTTTCACTATTCTTAGTATCTTCTTTCTTTATTTTCTTCCATTCCTCTAAAAGATTTAAGAATTTTCACATAAACTAGAAATCTCCTATCTGCTGTTGTTACAGGATTTTTAGGGGGCAAGTGAAAGTCATCAGCGACTCCACAACATGGCTGCATCTTCTTGGAGGTACCTGTTTCTGAATAACACAAAATCACAGTCCAGAGCAGAGCTGTCCAATAGAACAATGATCTATGAATTATTCATTATTCCATCCAATACAATGGCTACTAGTCACATGTAGCTATTGAGCACTTGAAATGTGGCTAATCTATATGAGGAAGTGAATGTTTTAGATTGATTTACTTAATTTAAATTTGGATAGCCAAGTCTTGGTTTATATCAGCCATGTTCCTATCATATTCTGTGTTAAGGACTATGTGTCATACTCCTCTTACAAGTGTGATTGGTAATTTTATAAAAGATGAGAGTAAGACAAAGAAAAAAGAGTAGCGATTAACATAATAATAAATTACAAAGGCATTTTTCTGATTTCTGAATTTGCCAATTTCAATCCTTGAATCTATTTTCTTCTATGTTTCATTTAATTCTTCAATAATCTCACCAACCTCATGGCTTCAATTGCTGACTGTACAGTGTTGGTATCTAGTATAAATCTTTCTTATGAACTTGACTTCCATTTCTAATTGCCAATTCAATGGTTTTCCCTAGATGTCTGAAAGATATCTCTTCCCCATGATATCTGCTCCTCGTGAAGTCTTCCACATCACTGTCATTGGCATTTCCATCTTTCCAATTCCTTTACCCAAGGATTTTGGTGACATCACTCACTGTCTTTCCTTCAAAACTTGCATCCAATCTATCACCAAATTTATTGACAGTATGTCCTAATCTAACTGCTTTTCTGTCACCTCCACTCTGGGCCAACTAGGCAAGATTTTTATCTTTATAATTCACTAACAATATCCCCAGTATCTAGAACAATACCTGAAACACAGTAGGCACCAACTAAATTGTATTAAATGTGTTTAGTAAGTGAAAGTAATAGATACATATTTGTTAATAGGCCAGGTGTTTCTAAAATTACAGCCATACTCAATGGAAAATAAGACTTGCCTAATAGGCGAGGAACTCAAGGACTTAACCTTTGCTGCATTGGCCTTGGGGGCACTCGCAACAATGACACAGCCAAGTCAAGCAAATATCAAGATCCCTGAGAGTTCTGAATCTGATAATGCAGTTGTCACTCAATATCATGACCCCAAGGATACTAAAATCTGTGTATTCTCAAATCCTTTATATAAAATGGTGTATTTGCCTGTAACCTGTGCATATCCTTTCACATACTTGAAATCATCTTTATGTTATAATACCAAATGCAGTGTGAATTCTATGTAAATAGTTGTTATGGAATAAGGACAAGAAAAAGTCTGTGCATTTTCAGTCAGACACAATTTTATAAAAATATTTTCTAAAGTTGATTGAATTCATGAATACAGAATTCACAAATATGGAGAGCTGACTCAATATTGGATCTGGGTTTTGGAGCCAACTTAACTTTATGATTTCTAAATATTTTTGGTAATGAGGGTCAGCAACCCCAGCAAGTGTCCCTTTGATGATCAAAGACATTTTCTCTGCCATTGTGTTTCCTATGTTAATTCCTATCAGGAGAGAAATGGCCTCAATTCTTTGGCTCCCCTCTACTATCACTCAACCTTCTTGATGTCAGTCTTCATTTCCATTTCTCCCTTTCCACACTGAGTTTGACATTTCACTGACATTTCCTGCCATTTCTGCTTCTGGTTCAATGATCTTAAACAGGGCAATAGATTGAACTGCCTTTTGGAAAAAAATATATTTCCTGTGTTTTCTATTTATTTTGCTCAGGTATTTAAATGATAAATATTATGATAATTAACTCCCAAATACTTTGGAATGCATTTTTTTTTAAAAAGGGGGGTTTTTTCTACATAATCACAATATTATTTTCCACCTAACAAAGTTAATGCCAGCTCCTCAACATCATTTAATAGCCAGTCCACAAATTTGCCCAATTCTCCCCAAAACTTCTTTTACATATTTGTTAAAAACAAGGATCCACTTAACGATTATGCATTTCATTTGATTGTCTAATCTTTTAATTTTCTCTAATCTACAATACTTCCCTTTCCAATACTTTCTCTTCACAGTACACTTAGATTAACTTTTTAGTTACTAAGAATAATTTTATGATGAACAGTGATCAGCTGTTTTTAAAGAAATACAAGTTACCCTTCACCCTAATTCCTCACCTGTGAGATTCTTTGGGCCATTCTTGGGAAAAGAAGGTAAAAAATAAACAATTGGGATGATGAGTACAAATGCGGCGACAGACAAGAGCATCTGGAGCGACAACACTGTCAATGTTATTGTCAGCAAACACCGTGCTAGGGAAAATGTCCCTGATACAAGCTGTGTGACAGAAGAAAGCACATTAGGAAATCAATTCACCAGCATTATCATGGAAATTGCAGTCACACTACTTGTAAATTCCATATTAAAATCTTAAGTTTATCCCAAGATCTTTAAATTTGTTTAAATTAAGAACAATGTTGCAATTATTTTAAACTTGAAATTTAAAAATGAGCTCTATTGTTGGATTCTTGGAATCCTACCTATGAAATTCATGAAATCCATTTTCTATATATTAAAAAATAAAAATGGAACAAAATTGAGCTGTGACTTTATAGCACACAATGAAAACCTATCACAAGAAGCAGGTAAGAGATCACTGGGTCCATTTTATCAGTGAGTATAAACTTGCATCCTAAGTGAGAGCTACTGTACATATCATCAGCCTTGTACATTCTGAATGGTTAGACTACCTCATTAAGAAAACAATAGTTACCAAGGTTAGAAAGTGCACAGGATTTCAAGGAAAATCCAGACACCACTTTTTTGAGCTTCCTTATTCCAGTTGGTGCCCCTGTTTGGGTGTACTTCAATAGACAAATATTCCTGAATAAAAACAAAAGTGGAAAAAATTCTTATTTTTCTAAGTGCAAGGAAAACTATGAGATGATAAGAAGTTCCATTTGGAGAGATGACTTGGACCTGAGAACACGGGAATGACTTTGAAGATCATCCATAGGGAAGGTTAGACAGCTGGACTTGAGTCCCAGCACTGCTCCGAGGCTCCCAGTAGTCCTGAGAATTTTGTGAACTTGATTTCTTCATCAGTAAAATGACAGCTTGAAGAAGGGTCATGACACAAAGAGTAGGAGTGAATGAATGACTGATTTCTCAAGCCCTTCTCAAGTTTAACACTTGAACATTTTTGTTAAAGTACTGATAAGGAGGGCCGGCGCCATGGCTCAATAGGCTAATCCTCCACCTTGCGGCGCCGGCACACCGGGTTCTAGTCCCGGTCAGGGCACCGGATTCTGTCCCGGTTGCCCCTCTTCCAGGCCAGCTCTCTGCTATGGCCAGGGAGTGCAGTGGAGGATGGCCCAGGTGCTTGGGCCCTGCACCCCATGGGAGACCAGGAAAAGCACCTGGATCCTGGCTCCTGCCATCGGATCAGCGCGGTGCGCCGGCTGCAGCGGCGGCCATTGGAGGGTGAACCAACGGCAAAGGAAGACCTTTCTGTCTGTCTGTCTCTCTCTCTCACTGTCCACTCTGCCTGTCAAAAAATAAAAAAAAAATAAAAAAAATAAATAAAAAAAAATTAAAAAAAAAAAGTACTGATAAGGAAATCCCAGTTTCTTGGCTTGCAGTTCACCTTGTGTGAATTCTTTGACAAAGATATTTCTCGATATGAGCTTCAGACAAGCCATGGAAAACTAATTCCTAATTTTAAAAAATCATTGTTTTAAAATAAATCTTTGATACTTTGCTTCCTTCTCACTTTTCTCCTTTCTATATCTGTGGAAAGCAGAATATTAAAGTCCTATGTTAAAATCCAAATATTAGTCATTTGAACTTATTTCACTTTCTTCATTGGATTCTGGATAAATACAGTTCACTGCGCAAATAGAGATCATCTCAAATATTTCTAAGTTTAAAAAAATTAATACATTTTCTTCATAAATTTTTTAAAAAGTGAACACTGATTTAGTCATTAGAGACATTTTTATATTCATATACAATAGATTTATCCCTGAAATTTTTCAGAAATCCTGAGTGGAGCAAGATAAAACTTTTCACCTTGACTTCAGTTATTTTGTCTTGATATGCAACTATCATTACAGAGACAGATGAGTGTGTTTTTATTTTTTATTCTGTAGGGCTAGGTTGTGACATCTTTTATCCTGGGAAGGGCTTTTCCCATCAGATCAATTGTAGCTATTTCAAAGTTATCAAATGTAAGACACAGCACCACTAAAATTAGCTGATAGAAGTTAAGCATATGTATTTTATACAACAAAGTCATTAAAAGACTCCTTGCCATGAAATGCAACCAAATGAGGCTTTCAGTGCACTTTTCATGAAGAAAACTATGAGTAATAGAAGTGTCTTTTAGAAGCTGAAAATAAATTTTGGCATTAAGTTGCTGAAAAAATTGTAATAAATCACCATTTTGTTTTTCACTGGACACTCCAACGTCCTTGGGCTTAAGTTACACTCACTCACCGATGCTCCGCACTGGGAAACTGCCGTGTCGCATACGTGAAAAAGTGACAGTGGGCATCATTCGTGCATCTCTCTTGGCATTCCTGGGCATTCTTTGTTACAGAGCCATTATAGTTCATACCTTGCATGTCTAGATCCACATAAATATCTTTGTTGCAGGCTGGAAATAAAAATGGAAAATAACAGTATCCAACAGATTCCAGGGGCCACTGCAATATTTCCATATTAGCAGTTGTTTCCTCCTGACTTGTTACACTTTTCATCCACTTTTCCTCAGATACCCTTTTTCTTTTTAACTTTTTAAGACAGTGATCTCATCAGCTGATTCATTCTTCAAATGTCCTCAGTGGCCAGGACTGGGCCAGGGGAAGCCGGGAGCTAGGAATTCAATCCAGGTTTCCCATGTAGGTGTCAGTAACCCAACCACTTGGGCCATCACCTGCTGCCTTCAAGGTGTGTACATTAGCAGGAAGCCAGAATGGAGAGCTGAGTAGGACTGGAAACCAGGCTCCCTGACCAGGGGTTGGGGGGTGGGGGGATGTGAGCATAGGTGTCTTAACTGCTAAGCCAAAGGCCTGTTCTGCTTTTATTTTAACCTACTAAATTGCTGTATTCACATGGAAGCACTACAAGAATTCCAAAGGTCTTATCTCACAAAGGTTTTAAACTTGTAGATTCACATCTGATATTCTGACCTAGCCTCTCCTGTCTCCTTAACTCCTGACTGATTCATTCATTAACCTATTCAAGTGCTATTTCTCTGTGAAGACAAGGGTCACTTCAATCTTTATATTTGCAACATTTGATTTAATAGGTTTGATAAAGACTTCCACATAAAATTTTAGCCTGGCAAATAAAAAGAAAATAAGGAATGATGATAGCTAAGTACTAAGATGTCTTACCACCAAGCAAAGAAATTTTGATGAACTATAGGGTGGGACAGGGGAAAGAGGAGGCAGGCTTGCATTTGCAATAGTTACTCTATATTAAAGAGAGTTTATTTCCACATAGCAGCATTTTATTTTAAAGCCATTAAGCTATATCTGATGTGACAATATGTATATATCACAATGACTACTATTTATTAATTCTAACAGGACATCTTACCACTTAGTTGGTGTGGGCATTGCTTGAAAGAATACCCAGAAATGGCTCCTGTCATATTCACCTTGGGCAGTGATTCTGTAACACTGTCTTTCAGGATGCAAGAAAACCTATTTAAAAAAAAAATTACTGAGTGAGAATTTATGTTTTAAAATAGTGGATTTTAAAATTCAGCAGAAATTCAAAGAGAAAGGAACAAACTCCTCCAGCTCATGCCAAAGCAAATATTTTCTTAGCAAGATTTTGAGTTTGCATTTCATTTCAACATTCCTGCATTGAGGAGACCACACATGACACTCCTCTTTAACAGGAAACAAACAAGCATAGATGAACTATGGCCTGTTGGTGGAATGTAGCTTAAAATCACCATGTTTTTGTACAACCCATAAGCTAAATATGATTCTTATATTTTTAATTGGTCACAATTTAAATGGTATACGTATTTGCATAGCAACCTCAATTTTGCCTTTTGACCCACAAAGCCTAACGTATTTACTCACTGCCTTGTTAATATTATGATCCCAGTTCTAAATGACAGAATAATAAATTTTATAATTTCAGAGTGCTCTATAAATATCTGTGAATGTAGCCATAATACACAAAAATGTCTTAAACTTAATATTGGTGGAAAGACTATATCATTGAATTTTCAGGATCAACATGGACACAAAAGTGGTAGGAGACTATTCTAGAATTTTAAAAACATCACTATGGAGACAAAACAACCAAATGTAATTTGTGAATCTTGACACAGTTTGATTAGTAGCAATAAAGTATATTTGGGGTACAAAAGCAACCAGAAGAGGGAATTTTAAAAAAATTTCTTATGTCATTTGCATAGATTTATGAATATTGAAGCATTTGTGGGTTAAAATGTCATGATGTTTTAAAATTACTTCCAATGGTTAAATATGTATACATATATAGTTAGATAAAGAAAAGTGTAAGTCTTGGTGATGATGGGAACACTGTACACAATATTTCAACTTATGTTTATAAATATTTAATTTTTTCTAATAGCAGGATAAAGTTCTAGTTTAAGTAATACAAAATATCAATAATAAATGGAAAAGAACAAGAAAGAAATTATAGTATTAATATTGTGACTGCAACAGAGTCTGAAAAATCTACAGTGATAAGCATTTTTGTTCTTCTCTAACCTGCTAAACACCACCCTTTTTTCCCTGTGATATTTAACATTTTAGTTGAAGTACTATTTGTTTTCCCCTTGTTAGCATTAAATTTTATAAAATAATGGAAATTTTGTAATGGATAATTGGATTCTCAAATCTCTTTCCTCCATTTAGAAACTTAACCATTTACCACTTAGTAGAATCTACAGATGACTCGGCCATAAAAGTGAAGAGCAAACATCTTGGGTGATAGGTGCAAACCACTTGGCAGTGCTTAGCATTTGGTGTATAAACAGTAGTAATGTCTCCTCCTTGGAAGTAGATGTCACTGAACAGCTTAATCACACATTCTGTGAAGCAATGTACAAGACAGGTTACTTTGGAGTTTAGTGTACACGTATTGAGTCAGGTAATAACTTCACAGAGGCCAGGCAAGTAGGTCCACTCAACAAGATTGTAGTTGACCTTGGAAATCAAGACAGTAACAGCTTTATATTGGTTTCTTGAATTTTAGCTTTGGATGGAAAAGAAACTCACAGAATAACACATTTCCCTCACTGGAACTGTGCCTGTGAGTGATTGTCTTAGACACACAGAGTGCTTTGTGGATAATTGAATCATTCACAGCTTTTTATTGGCAAAAGATGGTCTTTAGGATCCCATCCAGGCCTGGAATGGCCCCATGCTTCTCCCTTTCTTCATCACTGTTCTTCCAAATTCTGTGCTTATGTGACACAAAGGCCCCTTCCGGAGTGGTCATTTTCCAGTAGTGTCTGATGGCGCTGGATATGATAGCAGACCACACTGTTTCACCATTTAAAATGAGCTAATGTACTAAAAGAACTTTAGACCCTCAAAACATAATTTAATCCTTTTTAGCTGAAACTATAAATAAGTGTGTTTTTTGAAACAGTAAGTTGCATAACATTTAGATTTTTCTGTTTCAAGAAAGAGATATATGGGACTGATATTTTGGCTCACTGGGCCAAGTCACTGCTTATGACCCCTGTCAGAGCAAAGGCTGGAATCCACGCTGTTCTGCTTCTGATCTTGCTGATGCATCTGGGAAGGCATCAGACAGTGGCCCAAGTTCTTGGACTCATGTCACCCATGCGAGAGACCCGAATGGAGTTCCTAGCTCCTGGCTTTGGCCTGACCTATACCCAGCTGTTTCCATTTGGGGAGTGAGCCAGCAAATGGATGATCTGTTTCTCTCTTTCTTTATCAACTCTGTCTTTCAAATAAAAAAAATCTTAAAAAAAAAAAAAGAAAAAGAAATATCTAATATTTCTGATTGTGTGTAGTGTTTAGGCTATTTGTTCCTTAGTCATTGGATAAAAGTTTGCAGTTTTTAATCTTGGCGTTGAAGGGTACTGCTATATACCTCTTGGTCTTCTTAATATCAAAAAATATAGAGAGAGAGGGGCCAGCACCATGGCTTACTTGGTTGATCCTCCACCTGCAGCTCCGGCATCCCATATGAGCACCGGGTTCTAGTCCCAGTTGCTCCTCTTCCAGTCCAGCTCTCTGTTGTGGCCCAGGAAGGCAATGGAGGATGGCCCAAGTGCTGGTCTCCCACATGGGAGACCAGGAGGAAGCACCTGGTTCCTGGCTTTGGATTGGTGCAGCGCTGGCCGTGGCGGCCATTTGGGGAGTGATCCAATGGAAGGAAGACCTTTCTCTCTCTCTCTCTCTCTCTCTCTCTCACTGGCTATAACTCTACCTGTCAAATAAATTTAAAAACAAATATAGAGAACAAAAATGAAAACACTTTGAACAGAATTAAATAAAACTCAAATATTTATTGTAACAATCATCATGCAGACAGATATGTAGGAAAGTATGTGGGTGCAAGGTAGCAAGAACTACCACAAAAGGTTTGTAGCCTATAAACTTGGGAAAGGAAATATTTGTATTTTCACTAGCATGTAACTGAAACAGTAGCAAATTCTCCTATTGTTGATGGAAGCTGTAAACCACATGAATATTCATTATATCTATGACTTCATCATATTAATCACAGACTTAAAAAAAACTCATTATGACTCCTTAGTAACCTGGTGGTAATTACTACTGTGCAGTTTTTGACTCACCACCAAATCCTGTCACATAATGTGTTCATAAAAACCCTGTCTATTTCTATATCACATTGTTTTATATTTTTACTAGCCATACTTAAGTATAATGACTCCCTTGCTTGTTCTCTTTTTATTTTAGGTACTTAGAAGCATTACTCCAAGAATGGAGTCTACATTGTTCATTAACTGCCAAAGGGATCAATGGCACAAGAGAGCCAAGGTTCTTGTGATACACCCTCCTCAAAAACAATCATAAACACCTTCTAAATTGCACAAATATACCTCTGTATAGCACATGATTTTCCCCAGAATTCGCAACCATCCCAAGAATTACCTGGCAATGTGTCTCTTCTCCCAACACTCTACTTCCAGCTGAACTGTATGGCAGCTTCTCATTAATGGAGAGCCCATCTGCCTTAAAAAATTCCCATTAACCACAGAAGTCTTACCTTTTGGTGTAAAGCATTTGTACTGCACTAAAATATTACTTTTAATAAGAATATTATTTGGGAGATTAAATATTATTTGGTAAATTCCATATTGCTAATATAGAAATTATATATAAGTTCAACAGATGTCATGAGTTATATTTTATGTGCTAATCTTAGAATATATTGCTTAGTAATTAGATCTCTTAATTTCAGAAGGCAGAATTTCAAATTCCTAACACAGCAGCTAATGCCAGTAAAAAGTTTAATTTAGTTTAGTCTCTGCATGTGTGTGTATGTGTGCATGACCAGCAAATGCTTACTTTTGTGTATTGACTTTGTATATAAACTTCTTGTTAATGTAATTTGACTCAAATAGTTTTTAGATGGGTTAATTTAGATTTTTCTCATCTGTGAATAGTTAATTTTCACCTAATCCTCCCCTTTATTTTTTTTCTAACTACACTGACTTCCAGTGTAATACTTAATGGAAATAACAGTGGGTATTCTTAGATTGTTCTTAGTACCTTGAGAAGTTTTTCAGTATTTCACCTTTAAGCATTTTGGTTTGGGTTTTTGCTTAAGATAAACTTTAATGAATGAGGAAAATCCTCTTCTATTTTGAGCTTACTGAGAGTTTTTTATTATGAATTGAATTTTTCCAAATATTTTTCTGCAGTATACTTACTTTTTAAATTATTAATATTGTGGTAAAATATGCATAGCGCAAAATTTGCTATTTTAATCATCTGTAGTGTTTAGTTCTATGGAATTAAGTTTATTCACAATGCTGTGCAGCTATCACACCATTCATCTCCAGAATTTTTTCAACTTCCCCAGTGGAAACTCTGTACCCATTGAATGCTAACTCCTTATTCCCCTCTCAGTTGCTGGTAGCCTCTCTAGTTCTACTTTCTGTTTCTGTGAAGTTGACTAAGTGCCTTATATAAGTACAACTTATGCTATTTGTGCTTCTGTGACTGGTATAATGTTTCAAAATTAATCCATGTTGTACATGTGTCAGAATTTCCTTCCCTTTTTAGCCTGAATAATATTTCAGTGTATATATATATATACCACACTTTCTTTCTTCATTCATCCACTTATGAACACTTGAATTGCTTCTATCTATTGCAAATAATGGTACCTGAATATGGGCATATAAATATCTCTTTGAGTCCCTGCTTTCACGTTTCTTGGTATATACTCAAAAGTAGTGCATGTATTGATTATTCAATTTTAAAACAGCTTCTCAATCATGGAATAACCCAACTGTGTTGCAATGCTGCAATGTAATCATCCTTATTGTGTTTAACATAGTGCTGGATTAAATTTGGTAACATTCTGTTTATGAAATTTACATGTATATCCATGAGAAAAAAAAGGCCAGTGAGTTTTTTCTTTCTCAGAATGTTCCTTTCAGATTTTGCCTAGAATACACCAGCTATAGAATGGACTGGAAAGTGTGACTGTGTTGACCTTCCCTAATATACAGAGGGTTTGCTTCCCATTTAACTAATATCTGCTGTTTGCTTTATCTTTGCCTGCTTGGTTCTTTACAGCTAATTTGTTATTCTCTTTCTATCTTCTTGAGCTGTAGTCTCATGTGATTAAATTGTACCTTTTCCCTATTCTAAAGTAAATATGCAAGTCTAGACCTTTGATCTCAGGACTGTTTCAGCTACATCCTATAATTTCAATATGCCATATTCTAATTATAACTAAATTCAATGTATTTCCAAACCCATAATGTTTTCTCTTCATTGAGCCATATTTACAAAAAGATTGTGGTTCATTTTCAAACATTTAGAATTTTCAGGTTGCCTTTTTGTTACGTTTTTCTAGTTCAATCCTAATGTAAATACTATGCTCAGTATACTTTTAGCTTTTAACAGTTGTTGAGACTTGTTTTAGACCTTGGATGTGGTCAAGTTTTGCTAATGTTCCATATCCATGTGTAAAGAATGTATATAAACGTGTGAAGTTTTTGTAGCCATTTTTAAAAAAAATCATTAGAATTAATACTGAAAGTTTTTCTCAATAAAATATCAATACAATTGTAAAACAATGACCATGAAGGAATATAATAACCTGGATAACAATCTTGTCACAATGAAAAGTACTGAATAGTTTAATACATTAAGTGGAATTTATTTTATTTTAAATATCTTTACCAAGATTTTATATTTTTAATATAAGCCAGAAAAAAGGGTCGATTGTGGCTAAAATGCTAATAACAATGCTAGAAATCACACAAAACATACATAAGTTATTTTCAAAGGAATGTTTGAACTTTTATTTTGAATAAAGAATAAACATAAGAATTAAGAAATACTAATCTGTCCTACTAAATATTAGTTAAGTAATTGATAAACAAGTATAGTGAGCATGATGTAGGCTGCAACAGTAGCTAAATCACTGAAATACATAAATGATGTATGAATAGTTACATACATTTTTCAGCACAAAATTGCTTTTGAATGTGTGTTGTTTTGAACTGTTTGATGGAAAACTAATCAATGAGCCAAATCAGACTTCTCTTTTTAATATTTTTAAATATTATTTAAATGTGTTATATAGAAGGATATATATTTGATATAAAGATACAGATAGCTTAAGATATACATATAGACCCTCACTATTATTCTTCACCTCAATTTCCTTCCCTGCTTTAAACATCCCTGGAGTCATGGGTGGAAAATCAACCAAAGTATTTCATTTCTTTCCCTGGAGTAGATGGCGTAGGATTCTCTCACATGTGTGGGAAGAGTGGTGTTATTTCCCTCTCTGGGCTTATGCGCCCTTGTTTTGCCATCTACAAGTTAGCAATGTTTTTGTTTCACTCTGTACTTAAGAAAAAGTTCTACTTACCACCAGAAACTGAGGCAAGTAAAATGAAATGTAACATTTGATATGATAAAATCATCCTACAAAAAGAAAAAAATGTGCATATTTTTAGGACACAAAATGTAAATTTAGAAGCAGTTTACTGACATCAGGATTTATAAGAAATAAGGAGGGAGAGGAGTAGTTAATTCAATAATGTTCACAGAATTCCTATTGTAACATTTAATCAAACTGCTTCAAAATTCCAGAACATTCTTTAGTGAGGTTTTATGCAATGTTCAAGACTGTCACAGCTCTGCAAAGTGACCCCCTCTCCTCCTTCCCTCCCTCTCTATGCCTCCAGCTCACTACCTATCAGGTCCTTCTCATCGTCACTATCTGACTGCTGTCCCCACTCCAGTTTTCCATCTGTATTTCCATTTCCTCTTTCAGTTTATTCCCTTGATTTCCATCTTTGAGGTTTGTCTGTGTATCTTTTGAGAGCTCTGAATGAATTTCTACTTATGGAATTTTGTATTTAATGAATATGCTATAGATGTATTTTTTGATAAATAGTTGTAGTTGATTATCAATGTACTTATCTCCACTTAGCATTGAACAGAATTTCCTATGAAAACTGACTCATTAGTGAGACAAATCAGCACTTCTGATTTTTAAGCATTGCTCTTGAATGTCTTTTTTAATCAGTAAAATACTTACTAAGTAGACATTTCTACTCTTCTTTCATTCTGCATCTCCTCTCATATTGGTTATGGATATTAACTAAATCATTAAATTAGACCCACTTTAAAATCATTCTCTACTGTAAAAATTTTTTCAAATTACCCATGGTTAAAAAGGATGTTTCAAGCATTGAGAGAAATATTAAATAATAATTTTTGAAACCATACCTGGAAACACCTTTGTGCTTATTTGCTACAATCTTTAGTAAGAACGCCTTTCTTCTTTCAAAACTGTCTTCATCCTGAGCTAAATGAGCCTCTGTAGGTAATGTTCCCTTCACTTGAATATTTACTTTACCAGTTTCCAATGTTATGTAACATTGTTTCTTTGTATGTCTGTGAAAGTCCTAAAAGTGTGCCAGAAATGTACTGTGGAGTTGCTAGCTTTTTAATACATTAAATTTCTTTTTCTTTTTACTGTGGGTTCATGCAGGTGTCACACACAGGCAGCTGAACAACTTGAATTTGCCTGTGCGCTTCAGGAGACAGGCAGACTCATCTGTAGTATGCTTTCTAGCCAAGCTGCACTTAACCACACTTCCAGATATCAACTGTTAGCCTAACTTGAGCCTGAAAATAAACTATGGAAAGCCAGATGAACTTTCTGATTTGCAGTGCAGTGGAAGGAGGAGACTTCAGCTGCTGTGGGTAGAGGAATTGACAGGAGGTAAAATGTGACCTGTAGGTGCCAGTGCTGTGACACAGCAGGTTAATACTCCACTTGGGGTGCCTGCATCCCTGTTGGTGCCAGTTCTAGTCCTGGCTGCTCCTGTTCCCATCCAGCTCTCTGCTATAACCTGGGAAAGCAGTGGAAGATGGCCCAAGCACTTGGGCCCCTGCACCTGCATGGGAATCCAAGAAGAAGCTCCTGGCTCTGGATCAGCTCAGCTCCAGCCATTGGGCCCATTTGAGGAATGAACCAGAAGATGGAAGACTCTCTCTGTCTCTCCCTCTCACTGTCTGTAACTCTACCTCTCAAGTAAATAAATAAAATCTTTAAAAAATAAAAAAAAAACATGTGAGCTGCAAGTGTCATGCTCTTGTAAATCCATCTTCCCATGATATTCATCATATAATGTTATCTCTTCAGGGACCTAGTCAGATATGATTTGTTCTAAGGAATCAACCCCCTTTTTAAAAAAAAAAAACCTCACTTTTGAAAACTGATACTCTAAAAAAGTTCTTATTTAGTTAGTTATTTTTCATTTATTTAAAGGAGAGACAAGAGGAAGGGAGGGAGGGAAAGAGAAGAGAAGAGAAGAGAAGAGAAGAGAAGAGAAGAGAAGAGAAGAGAAGAGAAGAGAAGAGAAGAGAAGAGAAGAGAAGAGAAGAGAAAAAAAGGAAAGAAAAAAAAGAAAGAAAAAAAAGAAAGGAGAGGAGAGGAAAAAAGAAAGAAAATAAAAATCAAGCCATCTTCCATTTGCTGTTTCACTTCCCAAATTCCCACAACAGCCAGAGTTGGGCCAGGCCAAAGTCAGGAGTCAGGAACTCCATCCGGGTCTCCAAGATGGATGGCAGGGACTCAACTACTTGAGCCATCCTCTGCTGCCTCCCAGGATGCACCTTAGCAGGAAGCTGGACTGGAAGTAGAGTAGCTGAGTCTTGAACCAGGCACTCTGATATGAAATGCAGTGACTTAACCACTGTACCAAACGAATGCCTGCCCCTAAATACATTCTTAAGAAATGTAATTTTATGGTTCAGAAAAATTTCCTAATTTTCCATAGAAAAGCAAAATTAGATCTTGGGTTTATAAATAGAATCAATATTCTGAAGAGCAGAGGAGAAGCAAAACGACATTTATCCCCTTTAGAGATCTTGCTGAAGTTGTGTGTACCAAAGGAAGCATTGTACTTTGTTCAGGGACAATGTGCTAATAATGTGAGTGTGACCCTCTGAACCTAGAAAACAACACCAGTTTGCTTTGAGTATTTAAGTATTTGGGGACATTGATAATCTCACTTCCCGTCTAGCATAATTCGGTTGCCAGTGACTTTATCTGAACACTTTCTGTAGTCAAAGAGTGTTGAGTCCATCATGGCCCAATGCCTGAGAGGAAAGATGACCCCAGATGAGGGACACTGGGCAGCCCTTTCAAAACTTCCTGTGGAAAAGGCAACATGAGAACAAAAAGAACTTACTAAGGAAGACAGTGAGAGACACCAACATGAAGGTAAACTTGAAATGGAGCCCCACACAAACTCATTACAGAAGTTGTTTTTTTTTTTTTTTAAAGATTTATTTATTTATTTGAAAGTCAGAGTTACACAGAGAGAGGAGAGGCAGAGAAAGAGAGGGTCTTCCATCCGATGGTTCACTCCTTTATTGGCCACAATGGCTGGAGCTGCGCCTATCTGAAGCCAGGAGCCAGGAGCCAGGAGCTTCTTCCTGGTCTCCCATGCAGGTGCAGGGGGCCAAGGACCTGGGCCACCCTCTACTGCTTTCCCAGGCCACAGCAGAGAGCTGGATCGGAAGTGGAACAGCCAGGTGTCGAACCAGCGCCCATATGGGATACCGGTGCTTCAGGACAGTGTGTTAACCTGCTGCGCCACAGTGCCAGTCCCCATTACATAACTTTTGAAGAAAGAAGCCAGCATGTTATTCCATGAGGAATAAAATTAAGGAGGATTTGAACTTGGAAGGATCTTTATATAAAGTGCTAAGACACCATTGTAATGTTCCATCTGGAAGATAGTTCCTCAGATATTTTGATCTATTTGATCTATTACCAATGTGTTGTAACCCATCCTTGGTATAAGGAGTCTTAGTTGCTTTCCTGAATTTCCCATTGAAAATTAAGTACATTCTATTTCCATTAAAAAGAAAGCACATCTTCAAATGAAAATAGATCTTGGTAAAGACAGGGAACAGGAGAGGGAAGTGGAGGAGGGGTGGGAGGGTAAGTATGGTGGGAAGAACTACTATGTTCCTGATGTTGTATTTATGAATGCATGCAAATAAATTTTTAAAAAGCACATCTTTATGATGCAATGTGTTTTATGAGGCTCCAATATCGAGTAACAAATGTACACCAAGAAAAGTTTTTGTGGAAAGCTGCTACAAGAGATGATAGAAGTTCCCTAAGTTCCCTATATTGCTTACTCTTTGAAGTCTCATCTCTCTCCTAAAGCTCCAGTCCAAACAGGAAAGCAATAACCCATTGGAGAGAAACAGAACTCCAAACTTCACTGGAAACCAAATAATATGTTCCTAAGTTTGATTGATGTAATTAGTGGAATCTCTAAATCCTGTGAAATAAATGTTAGAAAAGACACAGAATAAGTGTCTTAACTACACAGCGATTCTTTGAGATTAAATAGGCCTTTCTTTCAAACTGAGCCTTCTAAAAGTTTTCAATGTAAGCATTGCAGTTCAAAATTGTGATGTTGACTACTTTTTTTTCTTAATGGTAAACTGCTTTGTTAAGAAATAAAATATTTTTGAAACCTGAAGAAAATTGGGAAACACAGGGAAAAATCTCAGGAAGAGTCTAGAATGTAGTGCACAGGGATCCAAGTTCAAGTCAGCAGTTAGGATCACAGGTGAGGGATGTGTTGGGCTTATTGTGATCTAAAATCCAGGTTGGGACGAGAGGCTCACAAAAGCGCAGTGCTGGACAAGGTGCCTCTCAGTCACAACCACAAGCAACTTTCTCTGGCAGCCCCTTCTTTTTCTCACCAAATTCACGTTGACAAAAGGCACAGACTCCCACGTCCGCAACTTCTGTCTTACCGTCCCTGCACTTCACTGCTGAACTTGGATCGGAGTTTCTCAGTGCTGGAATTATTAACATTGCGACACAATGAGTCTTTGGTGTGAGGGCCTATTGTAGGATGTTGAGTAGTATCCCTGGCCTCTACCCACTACAGCCGGTGCCAACCCCCCTCCCCAAATTGTGACAACCAAAAATATCTTCAGACATTGCCAGATGCCCCAGTGGGAACGAAATCGGCCCTGGTTGAGAACTACTAATTTAGATGTAATGAAAATAACAAATAATGGTTATAAATACCTCTGTTATCATTCTTCTCACAGTTTGAGGTGATATAATGTGGGTCTATAAGGCATAATCTGGGATATGAATGCCACACCTCGTCCTTGCCCTTTCTTTGCCAGTGACCTTGAACTTGTTTCTTTTTATTTCTTCAAGCCTCCATTGCCTCATCCTTGTAGTAAAGAGCATTCATTTGTGGAAGGTTTACTGAATGCCCATGTATATGCAATATGAGTGAGAGAGAGAGAGAGAGAGAGAGAGCACCCATCAAAGCTGCCCACAGAGCAATGGAGCAGAGAGGGGGAAGTCATTGTAACCTCACTTGCTTAGCCTCTTATGTGATTCTTAGTCCCTTGAGGCACTTATTATATGAAGGGCTTCTCTGTTCTTCCCTGTGCATGAACACATGGTGAGTAATAAAGAGAATATTCCAGTATTCTGGATTCCAGTTGGCAACTTTAAAATGATAACTGATGCCTGGGGAAAGGTCCACATTTCACAATTCTCTGTTTTGCCCAAACTAGCTCATTCCCTGACTAACAAAAGCCAAAGGTTTACTCTGTGAGCATTCCAAAATCCTGTTTAAACACCCACTAGAATTATCAATGTCAAAACCCCAAGATACAAGATTTCAATGCAAATCATTTTTCCCTTTGAACTATGAAACAATATCCACAAATGACAAGAACAAAAACCTTTATTGCATTCAAGGGTAAAATGTGAAATTGTACTTTTTAATCAACTCACGGATCTAGCCACATTTTACAAAAGCCATTGGCTTCTGAAGTAAATTCTTAACTTTTTTTTTTTTTTTTTTTGACAGGCAGAGTGGACAGTGAGAGAGACAGAAAGGTCTTCCTTTTTCTGTTGGTCCACCCCCTAATGGCCGCTGCGGCCAGCAAGCTGCGGCCAGCGCACTGCGCTGATCTGAAGCCAGGAGTCAGGTGCTTCTCCTGGTCTCCCATGCGGGTGCAGGGCCCAAGGACCTGGGCCATCCTCCACTGCACTCCCAGGCCACAGCAGAGAGCTGGCCTGGAAGAGGGGCAACCAGGACAGAATCCAGCGCCTCAGGTGGAGGATTATAGCCACGATGCCGTTAATTCTTAACTCTTTAGCTTCCTACTCAGTGGCCTAAGGATAAGTCAGACCTCATGATTTCCTGCAGCTCTTCCCATATTTATCCCTGCCCCCACTCACTGTATCTTTGAGTATGGAAGGAAAAACTCAACCTTTTTTAGAAATCTTTACTCTTTTATTTTTTTACTTGACCTACACAGCATTTTGTAAACAACCAATTCTGTGTAAATGATACTCAGCATAACCGAACTGAATCAAGCCACCTAGTTTCAATTGTGGTGTTCACTATCAAGTTTGGAATTTGTGCTGCCTAAGGATTTAGACCAGCAGTTTATGATAATTTACTACCACCATTCCTTTGCAAGTCTGAGCCTTCTACCTAACTTTATACTTAACAATGTTCCCTGTACCACCATTGTAGAACCGAATATCCTCTGAAACCTCAAAATCAGTGCCTTTGTGCAAGGCAGATCCCTTGTCCCATGGGCAGGTTGTGCACTGAACCTTTGAGAGGTTTTCGAAAAGTTCACAGAGAATGAACATTACAAAAACACATTGCATAGATCTCAAAATTTTGCACCCAAATAAATGTATCTTTTAATCCTATCTTCCACAAACGTTCTAAAGTCCCTGTCATATTGCAAGAGCAGCAACTAGAAAAACTTGTAGCCCCAGGGGCCCCTCCATATGCCCTTTCTTTTAGCAATGTCTGGGTAACAATGCAGCCATGATGAAAAGGTGGCTTAATCTCCCAGAATCAGGTAATCCTTCTTCCTTGTAGAAGTGGACATTGCAAGGTCATCTCCCTACAGGCCCGAGCAAAACCCAAGCTTCCTGGCTCTTCACCCCAAGTGAAGCAGGCAGATTTGTTTTTCATATTTATTTTCATTTTATTTTAAAAGCAAAGAAAGGGAAAAATCTTCCACGTACTGGTTCGCTCTCCAAATGCCCTCAATAGCCAGGGCTGGGCCAGGCTGAAGCCAGGAGCCTGGAACAGAATCTAGATTGCTCATGAGGTTAGCAGGAAGCTGGATGTCAGAAGCAGAGGAGCTGGGACTGGAATGAGGCACTCCAGTATGGGCTGAGGGTATTGCAAGTGGCGACTTATCTTCCTGTGCCACAGTGCCCACCCCAGTGGCAGGTTTCCAAGAGCAGGCAGGTGAGACACAGAGAGTTACATCTCTGGGATACATGGAGTTCCAGAAGAAGCACTAAGATTAGAAAGACCCCAGGCTCAGGGCTAGAATCTGGATTCACCTATTTCCAGGTGTGTGTCACACTTTCTCGTCATGCTCTTCTGCCCTTTTATTTCCCAGTCAGTCGTGGCGATTTCCATCATCCTCTGCTATTAGCTCCCAGTGAGTCGGAGCTGAAAGCATGCCTTGAAAGACAGGGTGCTCAGCAGCTGTGTGTGTATTGTCTTTTCCATGCTATGACAAGGTTGTGAGGTAGACGCGCTCTCCGTGTTTTGCAGACAAGGGCTCCAACACAGAATTGGACTTGAACCCAGGTTGTGGAACTAGTGGCGCTCCTTCACTGTGCAGCCTCTCCACACAGCCAGCTGCAGCCTAAATGTCTCAATCCTTTTCCTGCATCTTCTGCAATATCCAGTCCACATACTCAGCAACTTTGGTGTAGACACCTGGCTGTTCTCTGCGGGCACAGCCTTCACCCCAGCTGGTAATGCCCACCAAAAGCCAGATGTTGTTGTGCTTACAAACCAAGGGACCACCTGAATCTCCCTGTGTCACAATAGGCAGAAAAATAAATTATAGAATGTTATATGACAGATGTCATTCAAATAGCTATATTCTTTAAATTCTATAATCAAACTCCACACATCACACACAACACAAACACGCCGTTTCTTGAAGTTCTTCATATATCTCATGCATTGAGCTGCTGAATGTGATAAAAATGATTTAATAGTGTGTGCTTGTATTTTCAGTTTATTCCCTTTTTGATTAGGAAGTAAATTCTACAAGGAAATTTTAACATCATTGTCCTAATAAGTAAGTGTCCTAATAAGTAATGTTCTTATATTTTAGCACAAATGCTACATGCACACAGATTGTGACATATGTACCATAAACCTTACTAGATGTACATTATATGCACATCAAACTGGTAAAGTTACTAATAAAATCACTAGATCATTTATCTCTAAATTTTTTAAAAACAACTGAAAGGAAATACACTATCATAAAATATTTTGAAATAAATTATCTCAAGGAGCCTATTGTGTATTATATAATAATTACCTTGCAGGCATCTTTCCCCCCTTCTTTATAGCCAGCACAGACCATCTGTTTGGTTATTGCATGATCTCTATAGCTTTTCTGGCACTCTTCATTTGTTACCAAAGGAATATTTGCCTTCTGTAGAATGTTTTGTATTTCACCTGTGAAATAACCAGCATATAACTTCAGAGGGAGGGAATAAAATAAATATGGAAAGAAGACTGGAGTCTTAAAACTACTGGGGTTATGTCTTTGGAGAAAATCAGGCAGTGAGGTCTGGAAGTTTAGAGGTAAACAGAAGGAGAGGGAGAGGGAGAGGGAGAGAGACAGAGAGAGAGAGACAGACAGAAAGAAAGAGAGAGATAACCCTGTGCTGGTCCCTCGTATCTTACTATTGTTAAGACAATCCCAGCAATGTAGGCTGACCACACACTTTGCTTCCAGATTTTCTACAATTCTCTCTTCCTAACAGAAGTTCCCTCAGAAATCCCTTTTTATATTTATTGCCTACAATTCAAAATTCTGGAAGTTCTTACCTCTTTTTTTATTCTATATATTCAAATTAAAATTTATAAATTTCTGGGGGAAAAAACCCTTTGACAGTGGAGGGTGACTTTATTCTTTGCGTAGATGCAAGTATTTCCATGAAGATCAATTTATTTAGAAATAACTTAATTTTCACCAGTGTTCAGGTGCCCCACTGAAAATTTGGTGAGAGGCTTATTTTATTTAAGGTTACTTTTAATTTCTTCCTATCCCAAGGGAAGATTTTTGTTAGTTAAATAAAGAACTAAATCAGAAAAGATGGAGGGAGTTTAGAGAGCTACTCCCCATAGTATCTCTCAGAGACAGAATTTTGGAAAGGAAGTATGGTCCATTTCATGAAAAGTTTAAGGACAATTAAAATATTCCAACTGGGTTTCTTAACCTAGGGTCTATCACAAAAATGTACATGGCCCATGAACATGAATAGGAAAAAGTACACTCTTGTTTTCATTAACCTCCAACTGAAGTCCAATATTCTCTCTAGTTATTAATGTTGGCACCAAACATACTAGTATTAGCAATACCTATGACTTTGCCATCAATCAAGATCCAGATAGCTTCATATCACAATACATTCATGGAAGATAACTGAAAATATCATTTGTGCTCACTATGGTTTCAAAATTATGACATATTAGAACACCTATTAAATAATATATGTGAATAAACAAGCACACATATTACCATATGTCATCTTTTTAAATAATTTGATAACCTGCAGTACAATTTAACTGGCTTCATTTATAATCTTATGCATCTTCTTTAAGCATGCAGAAGCATTGTTAGAGAAGTGGTTCACAAGCTTTATCAGATTGTAGGAAAATTAAGAACTAGGCACAAAAAGAGTTGACACATCTCCTGATTGTTAACATCAAAGGAGAACATGGTTTTGGGAGACAGGAACACTACTAATACTAAGCATAAGATGAAACTGAGTGGGTTTTTCAGCCCTAAATGATCCAATCTTCGATGTGAAGCCAAACAGATGATCTTTATTATGAAGTATAATGCTCAAGATGTTACCTTACAGATTTTTCGAGGCCCAAGTCAAAATACATCTTCTTTAGGAATCACTGAATAAATATTTGGCAATAAATAAATTGGAAAGACCATGACTTTAGACAGAAACTGGTTCAACTCAAGACTCGCTCTGGGACAAACACTGAAAATGTTGGGCTGTACCTTTCTCCTTCGTGAAGCCCCATCCAGTTACCCAGCAGTTGGTATAAATTGCATTCGTATCATCTTTGGAAGGGAGGCATATTGGTTTTTGGATATCTGAAAGGTAATTTTTAAATTAGAGTTTGGTCAACTAAAGTTATGGATATTAGTCATAAAAAGACATGCTTTCCTTCTCCTGTAGTGCTTTTTCCACAGAGTAGCACCAATAATCTCCCTTCTGCTTTCTTTCTAAGGTCAATGATTCAAGAAAATTTCTCACCATCAGGATTCACATGATATTTGAGGTTAAAATTTTCTGAATTTTATCAAAAACCCAGAACCCAAATTTAATGTTCAAAGCATTTAGAAGTTCTTGTGCCTTATTCAAAGTGTGCTACCCCATAGCTAATAGTTGGAGCAGGAGTCTGCACTGTTCCAAGAAGTGCTTTCATTTATTAACTGAATTGTTATCAAACCAATGAGGTAATCATCAGCCCCATTTTACAGGTGAGGAAATTCAAGGTGCAGAGTAAAGTAACTTGCCAAGGTCACAGTCATTAGTAGACACAGCAGGCAGGCAGCTCTGTGGAGCCCCACGCCTCCAAGTCAGCCCCCCAAACCATGATGCTCTGGGTTTTCCTGGGCTGCCTTGTGCATCAGGCTCTTCCCTAGCCACACTACGTCGAGAAGTTCATAACCTGGTCCCACTCGCCCTAATATACTTCTTGTATTCCTAAACCCAAGGCAACGCTGGTTCTGTTATTCTTGTCTAATGAAGTCCAGGGGGCATAGGTATTTCCAAAGCCTATTATCTCAATCCTGTATGTGCATTTGTATTCTTCTTTGAAAATTTCTTGCCCCTTAAAGAGAAAAGATTTTGTGTGAAATCCCTGAGTAACTTCACTTCCCGGTAATCTCAATTTCCCTCAACTGCACCAGCCAGAAAATGAAGATAATCTCTCCAGATGTCCCTTCTCATTCAAACTGGCAGGAAGAACTAATCCAAGACAGCTGTGCAGCTTCCCTTTAAATATGCTACATACCAGTGTCATTCAAAGGAGCCTGAAGTTGTATTAAGGCGATATCATGACCAGTCTCTGAGATTTTATATTTAGGGTGAATAATAATCTCCTTTATTTGTGAGAAAGCGGTTTCTTTTGTAACTTCTGATAGATATAAAATTCCACCATAAATGCGCCAAATCTCTGGAAAGGGAAGCCTAGGAAAGAAAAATCAATGCCTGTTTGAAACTGGAAGGACTGTCCTCTGGTACTGTCCCTTTTCTCTTTCACGTTCCTTTCCACAAAGCACTGGCAAAGAAATACTACATATGCCATGTATTTTCCTAGTTAATTTCTCCTCCTGGCAATTTGTCATCACCAACAGCACAATACTAAATCTCTGAAGACTTGAAATATTGAGCAATGTGCATTTCTGCAACTATATCATGTTTGCTTCAGGTAAAAATACAAGACTGCTGTTGCCCAACTCTGAGAAAAGCAGCAATGGGGAGAGAGTCAGACAATTTATAATGGGAAAGTCAACCTAAATTCACAAAATCTGAAAGGAATTGCTTTCACTGAATTCAGAGCTATCAAGTCAGACCGATCTTACACAACCCCTTCAACTAGAGCAAATTGGGAGGACTTTTGTGTTGTCTAAAATATATTTGTATTTTAGAAAGTATGAAAAATTTAAATTCACATTCAAAAGAATATATACAAAGCAAACCTAAAATTATCATCTAAAAATAAAGTCTTTGAAAAGATCCGGAAATGTTCATTAGTTTCAGCTGAGTGTGCAAGTCAAGCTTGCCCAGGTTACAGAGGAGCAGAATGGAGCCATCAGTGCAAGGTGGTCTTCTTGCATTTAAATCACAGTGTTTCCACGTCTATTGTGTCTTCTAAATCACAACACTAAGCCTGAAAGGGCAAAAATTCCTAGTTCCAAATTGGGATGCATTTAGTAACAAAGAAACTTATTATTTCCCATTTCTGGGCCTTTTCCTTCAAGACAACTTCATTCCCTTAGCAAAGCCATATACTCCCAGGTGGCAACGTGCTCTGTCCACCTGTGCCTCTGACTCTGCTGTATTTGGGAGGCAATATCTTCAATCCTGGTACCTGGCAACCTGAGCCCTCCCCTTTGATAAAGAAGGGATGAATTTTCCTCAAACAAAAATACCTTGATTCATATTTATTTTTGAGAGATTAAAATGTCTTTCACTATCTCTTGTATTTATTCATATTTTTTGTCCGTTTTGACTTTTCTTATTGAATGAAGTAATCATGGTGTATACTTTGGAATGCTTTTTATGTTCTGGATATAGTGCTATACATTTTAAATTTGTCATTTAACCCTTTCAGTAACCTAACAAATAGGCACCATAGAAATGTGTCATCTTTTATAAGGGACTTGAGCATCCTCAAATTTTGGTTTCCTCAGGGATGTTGGATTCTAAAGGACTACTATGTTATTAATCAAGGGACCACTATTTTATTACTCAATTATCCAGGGTTGTATTTCTAATAAGTGGCAAAGCTGTGACTCATGCCCTGTCCTAACTATAAAGTTTAAGTGTTTTAAAACTTCAGAATTCTATATGTACTATTTGCTTGATAAAAGAAATATTACATCAAATTATATACATTGAAATGTGCATAGCAATATGCTATCACTTTTATTTTGTATTATTATTACTGAGTACATTTGTGAATCAAAGTGCAGAAAATAAAATTTCTTTTGGTCTGAAAAACAAGTCTGTGAAAAATGCATTTAGGGAGAGGTGAGTAGAAGCAGCAGCAGCTGGGCATTTTGTTAGTCTCTTTAGACAAATGATCCGCCTGGAGTCAGTCCCACCAAAAGGCCTCACTCTGTTCTAATGGGTCAAATGAGTCAGTTCCCTGATCCTTGTAGCTTTTAAATAATTTAAACACCATCCTTCTTGAAAATGTCTTGTATGAGAAGAGAATAACTCTCCATTAATAAAGTCACATGATGATGGAGAAACTCCTTCAAAATGAAAAGGCAAAATAAGCTGTGTCCACAACTCACCCATCAAAGCAATGAGCTGCAGTTAGGACCCACTGGTGACCGATGATGGACCCTCCACACACGTGGCTCTGAGCCGCCAGCTTCACCTGCAGGCTCACCTGCCAGGGCCACTCTCCCCTTGAAGAGTTGCTTCCTCCCACGATGCGTGCGTTTATTTTTGTGGTGCAAACTACAAAGAAAGCATTGAAGCTAATGGTTGGAATTAGAAGTCAACCAGAATCCCCTTCCATCAAAGAAAACAGAATATATGAGTCCACTATGAAAGACTAAGCAAGCTCTCCAAGCAACACAGACAGTTACAGTTCAATGAAAAAGTGCGGTTTACTTACCAGAGCCATTCTCAGTTTTACACAGTCTCAAAGAGTAACCGGAGCTCTTTTGTGTCCCATGGGTAATGCTAGTTGGTGAACCATCCAAAGACAGTCTTAAGGAACACCTACACCTAGAAAAAATGGACTGCATGTACGTCAAGCCTTCACGGAAGGGAAGGGCACTCAAGAAAACTGCCGATTGTCAAGGAAACATCCCCTTACTTCTCTCCCTTACAGTCTTCTGGGAGTAGAGAGTAGGTGAAGAACTGACAGCGGATTGTCTTTGTACAAGTCTCTTGGCAAAGGGTCACTCCTTTAACAAAGGTCACATTCAATTCTTCTCCTCCAAAGTCGACTCCAGAGTAAATTTTGAAATGGCAGGGTTCTGTGCCAGTTATAAATGTAAAAAGATAAAGAATGAGAAAAGCAATAAATCCTAGTCACTCAAGTTGCTGGTACCTTGAGGACTGTTTCATCACTGTTACTTCCTAAAAAATCATAAAAATTGTCACTTTAATGTAATATTATTGAGTCACCTTACCAGGCAACGTTTTTTTGCAGGTTAAAAGGCTATAACCAGATATCGTGTTTTCTTGAGGAGTAGGGAAACTCGGTGTACCGCTTTCAGAAGTCTTAAGGAAGCACGCATTTCTATTTAAAAAAAAAAAAAAAAAAGAAACAACAGAAGAGAAACTGAATTACAGGCACTAGGCAAATAGAAAAGCAGCTCCCATTTTAAAAAAAGCAACTCTGCAAAGTTTATTCTCCTGAGATACTCTCTTCAAAGTAATTTGACTACAGAACTCTAACAAATTAAAGGGATTAAATGTAAATCAAGCCACATCTCCTTCTGGTGAAAATTAATATGTACAGATAACCTGAAGGGAGGACAGTGGTAAAATTCTGCCTTCTAATTAGAAATGCAGCACACAAAATAGATCAAAGAATGAATTCTGGGGATTTATGCTGCTGATGTGATTATATAGCTATATCCTATTCTCTTAGCCCTACACTGTGTGTAAAGAAAGGCGTGGGTTATCTGTGGATAAAGAGGTTGAATGAGAACCTTGATCATTTTCAACAGAGCTCTCATTTCTGAAATATGGAGCCATTAGAGCTCCCACACTGAGGACGTATTGCCAGCGAGTGGGTTTTACTTCAAGCTAATAATAAACATTGAGATCAGTAAGAAAAGCATCAGATCTGTTTTTCCTCATGGCGGTTGTTTCATTGATGTGTTTGTAAGAGAAGGTGGGTAGAAAAGCCTGCTAATCTCCTAATTGATCTGCACCTGGCAGATTAGTACCTACTCAAACTGGAGAATTGTGTGTTTTGAGGGAAATGAAAAAAAAATCCTTTTTCAAACTTGAGATACAAAAGTGTTGAAAGAACAGCAGCAGGGGCTGCCACTCTGGCTTAGTGGGTAAAGCTGCTGCCTGAGTGCCGGCATCCCATATAAACCAGTTCAAGTCCCAGCTGCTCCACTTCCCATCCAGCTCTCTGCTATGGCCTGGGAAAGCAGTAGAAGATGGCCCAAGTCCTTGGGCCCCTGCACCTGTGTGGGAGACTAAGAAGAAGCTCCTGGCTCCTGGCTTGGGATAGGTGCAGGTCTGGCCATTGCAGCCATCTGGGGAGTGAACCAGCAGATGAAAGACCTCTCTCTCTCTCTCTCTCTCTCTCTCTGCCTCTCTGTAACTCTGCCTTTCAAATAAATAAACAAATCTTAAAAAAAAGAAAAGAACAGCAGCAGACACCACACATTCATACTCACCTTTGCGATTCTGTATCCCATTCATTTGTGTAGAACGTAAAGAAGAGGCAGTTGGAATGATAGGTGCAAATGGTGCGACAGACAAAAGCGTCTGGAGTGAGAACTCTGGCGACATCCACGTCTGAGAATGCGAGATGCTGGAAAAGGTTCATGTGGCATCCTGTGAACTCACAGAGGGAAGATGTTCCTCAATGACAGAAAGCTCAAGTTGCTTATACTTTGCCATCATCAACTAAAGAAATCAGAAATATTGATTACTCACGGCACTAGACATTCTGAGTGAAACAATGTCATTTCAAATATTCCCAAACTTGCTGTTTGCCATTTAGGAAAAACCACAATTGGCCTCACTAATAAGATCTCAACAATAAGATCAAATCCCTAGGCTAGAGAAATAGTATTGGTCAACTATATTCTCCACAAATGCAAAGTGTTTCTGTTACTCAGCATATGTTCTTGTTTATTTTATCCTGACCCTAAATTGGGTCATGTATTTTATCCTGACCCTAAATTGGGCCAAAGAAACATGAGATTTTATGCTGTATTTCCCTGAGTATTATGAAAAAGATCTTAATAAAAAGAGATTAGCAAAAATACTTGGCAGCTGAACAAAAGTCACATTTATGCACTGAAATAAGAATAGGAAAGAATCCACTTTTCTCCTTAAATAAGCATATTTCTCTTGTTTAGACTGTTGAGAAACAATTATCTTATTTTTTTATTCTGTTCTTGCTTTTTTATTCTTTCATTCTGCTTCTGTTTTTTTTTTTCTCAGACCAAACAGAAAAGGGAGGAGGAATGGGGATGGAAAGTAGGTGAGAGGGTGGGAGCGATGGGAAGAATTACTATGTACCTAATGTTGTATTTATGAGATACATACAAATAAAAAAAGCATATTTCCTATTTTTCTTCAGTTTTATTATGTACTCAGTTTACTCAATTTAACAATAGAAATTTCATTAAAATTATGGAACCTTAAAGAATGATGACAGCAATTATGGGAAGTAAAAAACCATCATAATTTAAATAAATGTAGTTGAGTCAAGAGATATCATATCTCATAATACCTTAATATGGTAGACTAGGAAATTAGATCTCAACTAATTAAAGGAAAAAATAAAGCACAGAGGTTGTCTTTTAGCTTAGTTATTGGGGTGCCGGTTGGGGGGTCCACATCCCATATCTAAGAATCTAGTTTTGATGCCCAGCTCTGGCCCCTGAGTCCAGGTCCTGCTAATGCAGACCCTGAGAGACAACAGTGATGGTTTAGGTCAGGCCTGGATTGAGTTCCCAGCTCCCAACTTCAGCATGGCCTACGCCTGGCCACTGCAGGCATTTTTGGGAAGTGAGCCATTAGATAGGATACCCTTGTCCCACGCTCTGCCTCTCAAATAAAATAAATAAATAAGTAAACTGTTGAAAACATCATAGATTATTAAAGCTGGAAGAGAACTTATATCTACCCCAACCTGCAATTGCACCTTCACCAGCAGGAAGTAAAGGCTAAGGCAAACTTATATAGAGGCTGCCTATCAAAGGCATGCCATACCACCCACACAGAGCCCTTTGGAAACTTGGAAAGGCTGAGAAACTCACTGTTTCTGGGCATTTAAGAAAATGGAGCTGGTGCTGTGGCACAGTGGACTAAGCCACAGCCTGTGACACCGGCATCTTATCTGGACACTGGTTCCAGTCTCCACTGCTCCACTTCAAATCCAGCTCCCTGCTAATGTGCCTGGGAAAACAGTGGAAGATGGCCCAAGTCCTTGGGCCCCAGCACCCATGTTGGAGACTCAGAAGAAACTCCATGTTCCTGGCATCAGTCTAGCCCAGCACTAGCCATTACAACCATATTGGAAGTGAATCAGTGGATGGAAGAGTCTCTCTCTCTCTCTCTCTGTGTGTGTGTGTGTGTGTGTGTGTGTGAGAGAGAGAGAGAGAGAGAGACTGTGACTTTCAGTTAAATAGATCTTAAAAAAATTAAAAAATGAAGAAAAATTTCAAATGCATAAATAATACTTTACCTTAGAAATTATTTAAGGAAAAAAAAACAAAGGTAAGCAGAAGGAAGGAAATAATAAAAATTATAGTGAAAAGAAATGAGATAGAGAGTGCAAAAAAATCTGCAAAACCAAAAGTTGTTTATTTGAAAAGATCAACAATATGGACAAACTTACCTAAACTGACGAAGAAGAAAATAGAGTATTGGAAGAGAGAAGTTTACTACCAACCCTTACAGAAATAACATGGATTATAAGAAAATACTATGAACAACAGTATGCCAACAACTTAGATAACCTTAAATAATGGACAAATTCCTAGAAACACAAATGATTGAAACTGACAAAATATGAAGCAGAAAATCTGAATAGACACATTAAAGGTAAAGGAATGGAATTACTAATCAGAAAACTTCCCACAAAAAAACACCTAGGTTCAGATAACTTTGCTACTGAATTCTACTAAATATGTAAAAACTCAATTCCAGTAACTCATAAGCTCTCTCAAAAATAAAGAATTTTTCCCAAGTTACTCTATAAAGCCAGTGTCACCTTAATACAAATATAGACAAAAACACTACAAAGAAACTATATAATATCTCCTACTATTTGATATTGACTCAATATCATTAAAGAAAATGCTAGCAAATGAAAGCCAGAACCTTAAGGAAACATACACCATGACTTTGTGGGGGCTAGGCAACGAATGCAAAATTGTATCACCATAAAAAAATCAGTGTAATATCATTAAAATAAAGAGGGAAGAACACTCAATCATTGTAATAGGTGCAGAAAGAAATTAAGAAAAATCCCCCTATATTTTCATAATAAAAGAATAAAAGGGACTATCCTAAATATAATAATAATTATCTATGGAAAACCCACAGTTATCATAGATAATCGTGGAGGACTGGATGCCTTTTTCATAAGATCAGGAATAAGACAAGATGTCTCAAAACTTAAACATTATACTGGAGAGTCTAGACAGGGCAATTATAGAAGAAAAAGAAATTGGCCGGTGCCGTGGCTCACTAGGCTAAATAGCATCCCGGATTCTAGTTCTGGTTGGGGCGCCGGATTCTGTCCTGGTTGCTCGTCTTCCAGTCCAGCTCTCTGCTGTGGCCCAGGAGTGCAGTAGAGGATGGCCCAGGTCCTTGAGCCCTGCACCCGCATGGGTGACCAGGAGGAAGCACCCGGATCCTGGATTCAGATCAGCGCAGCGCACCGGCCGCGGCGCATGGGCCATGGCGGCCACTTGGGGAAGAACCCACGGAAAAAGGAAGACCTTTCTCTCTGTCTCTCTCTCTCTCACTGTCTAACTCTGCCTGTCAAAAAGAAAAAAAACAAACAAAAAAAAAGAAATCCAGATTGGAATAGAAGAAGTAAAATCAGTTCTAGTCACAGATGGCATACTCTTGTACATAGAAAAGTTGTACACAAAAAACATTAGCCCTAATAAACGAGTTCAGTAGAGAGCTGCAGGATTACAAGATCCATACAAATATAAATTTTTTATCCACACACAAGAAATGAACAATCCTAAAATTAAAATCATAAAATAAATCCATATACAATCATAGCAAAAAGTATAAAATTCATGGGAGTATATTTAACAATAAAATTACAAACCTCATTCTCAAAACCATAAAGCACCATTGAAAAAAATTATAAAAGATCTAAATAAATAGAAGACTCATCTTCATGGACTAGAAAAGTTAATATTGTTATTATGGCAAACGCCCCCAAATGATCCAGATTCAGTGCCTGCCTAATCAAAATCCTAGTCAGGAGTGGGCATTTGGCCTAGTGGTAAAGATGCTTGTGTGCCGTATTGGAGTGCCTGGATTTGACCCCTGGCTCTGCTCTTACGCCAGCATCCTGCTACTGCAAGCCTGGGAGGCAGCAGCAATGATTCAAATGATTGGGTTCCTCCACCTATGTGGGAAATCTGGACTGAGTTCCTGGCTTCTGGCCCAGTCCTGGCCATTAAGGACATTTGGGGAGTATACCAGCAGGTGACTGCTCTCTCTGTCTCTTTGCTTCTCAAATATATATCTTAAAAGCCCAGCTATCATTTTTTTTTTCAGAAATAAACATGCTTCCTAAAATTCTTCTGGAAAGGCAAAAAAAAAAAAATCCAGCAATGTCATATCCGTTTTGAAAAAGTACAAAGGATTTTCAATTTTGAGAAGTACTAAGCACAAAACATCAATGAATGGTGATGACTACAAATCATGTCCGACTTAGAAATTTTGTCTGACGAGTTAGAATCAGAGACACAGTTGCTATAGATTTAGGAGGCATTTGGCCTTTAGGTGTTCCCTGAGGAATATGGAAATCATACCCAGTGAAAAGCCATGCCCTTAGGATCGCTAGCCATTTCCTGAAATATCCAGCATTTTTATCACTCTGTAAGGCCGTTTAATTAGATTGAAGCAATATGAGGATTCATTGCATTTCAACAAGAAAGCAAGCACAGAGCAGTTGGAGATTAGACTGTGGACAACAGCTATGAAGGGCCTGAGGCAGAGTGCAAGCTGTCAATTCCTCAGGGAGAGCGCAACAGTGCTGTATGCAGGCTGGAAAGCATGTGAACAGAGTCCTTCCTCCTGTAGACCATACCTTCCGAAGCTCTCCCAGGCAGAATATGAATATTAAAATTAAATTATCAGTAAATCTGAACCAAAAACGCAGGCACACACCATGGAGGGGTCCAGGGAAAAAAGACAAATAGGAAGAGATGCATTGTTGCCAACTTCCGAGTCTTCACAGAGAGGCCCTGGCCCAGCAACCAATACAGGGTTCAGCACAGAGCCAGCACTCAGTCCTGTGCAGAACTGATCCCCGACTTACAATGACTCTGTTAATGATTTTTCAACTTCATGACGATACAAAAGTGATGTGCATTCAATAGAAACCATGCTTCAAATTTTGATCTTTCCCTGAGCTAGTGATAGATGGTATGATATTCTACCACTATACTGGGTAGCACAATGAACTACAGCACCCAGACAGCCCTGCAAGCACAATGGGAAACCACCAACACTCTACAGGGTGCTGTGTGTTAGGCTAGTGTGTTCAGTAGGTTGGTGTATTAAACATAATTTTGACCTACAGTGTTTTTGACTTACAACAAGTTTTTTGGAAGATAACCTGTCTTATGTTGGGGAGCAGCTGTACCCTGATATGCTAAGTAATGGGAAATTTTATAGCAGTTTTCTGGATGATTCAATGGAAATGACCTATACTCGTATATCTGAAACCGTAAGGTTTTATTGACTCATCACAGGATCATTCTCTAGAAATGGACACCATCATGAAATGTCCTTATAGTTTTCTCCACAATATCACTATATTAGTTTCCGATTACTGCTGTAATAGGAGTATGATTGCCAACTTAGTGACTTAAATAAACAACACAAATTTACTGTCTTACAGTTCTAGAAATCACAAGCCTGCAAATGGTCTAATGAAGACGTCAGCAGATATCTGTTACTTTGGGAGCCTGTAAAGGAGAACCTGTCTCCTTGCTCTGTTCAACTGCTGGAGGCCCCTACATTCCTTGGATTGCGGATCCTTTCCCCATCTTCCAGGTCAGTGGTGCAACATCTTCAAATCTCTCTGTGTCTGACTCTGACTCTTCTGCCTCCCTCTTTCTCTTATAAGATTCTCTGTGACTACATTGGGCTGTCCAGATAATCCAGGACAGTCGCCCCATCTGAAAGTCCTTAATGTAATCACATCTGCGAAGACCCATTTTCCAAGTAAAGTAGCACATTCACGGATCCCAGTGACTAGCATCTGGACATCTCTTGGGGGCTCTTATTCTGCTCACTGGAATCGCAGATTGAAAAATAGTCACATAATTACCACTTTCCGAAAGCGCACAGGGCTTCAGTGAGAATCCAGACACCACATTCTCCAGCAACTTTATACTGCTGGGCGTTCCCGTTGCGCTTTTCTTTAGAATGCAATTGTTCCTGAAGGAGAAGAAAAGAGGTTACTTTGCTTCCTAAATTTTGGGATGCATGCAACAGTCCAGGTAATAGTCAGCAAAGAAATGATTCATGGGCAGTAGAAAACAAACAAGGCAATCAGAACAATGTCATTGATAAAGAGTGGGTTAAGGATTTACATTCTTAATCCAGTAGATATCAGCCTTCCACACAGAGAACATTAGGGTGAGAATGGAGTGGAAGACCTTATTTTACATCACTAATACCTCATTCCACAAGAACAGCCTATCTGTAGACCAAATGGAACTTACTCGCTTTAGAAAAAATGACACTAGTAGTAGGAAATAAATAAAGAAAGTGGTCATTAAAAGCCTTCAGCTGAAAAAATAAATGAAGTCATGCAGAATACAATTAAATCTTAAAAGCATCATCATAAACAGCAAACGCTGAATTTTACTTACAGGTGTTCTGCATTATAAAATGTTTGTGTGGCATATGTGAAAAATTGACAGTGAATATTGTCAGTGCATTGTTTCTGACACTCCTCAACACTTTGAACCTTAGATATATTAAAATTGGTTCCTCTCATATCAATTCCTTCGTAAGTGGCTCGGTGGCAAGCTGTACAAATGAAGGACATAGAGAAAATTAATTTCTTTTCTGGAGGTAGATCAACTACTATTTGAGTTGGCTAATTTTTTTTTAAAGATTTATTTATTTATTTGAAAGGAAGTTACAGAGAGGCAGAGACAGAGAGAGAGAGAGAGGTCTTCCATCCACTGGTTCACTACTCAATTGGCCACAACGGCTATAGCTGAACCAATCTGAAGCCAGGAGCCAGGAGCTTCTTCCAGGTCTCCCACACAGGTGCAGGGGCCCAAGGAATTGGCCATATTCTACTGCTTTCCCAGGCCATAACAGAGAGCTGGACAGGAAGTGGAGCAGGCGGGACTCGAACCTGCACCCACATGGGATGCTGACCGCCACAGCGCTGGCCCCAGTGTTGGCTAATTTTGAATGATAACATCCCATATTTGACAACTACTCTATTAAACAGGAGATTTAAATATTATATTACTTAATTATCAAACTCTACTTGAAATAAACAAAGCCAAATGTGATTTTATTTTCCCCCAGGAATAGCAGAATTTGAACGGAGTTACTTTGCTTCCTGAAAGGCAAGGTGCATGAAGCAAAACGGGTAATACTTCACACTGAAATTGTTAGTGGGTGTTGGAAAGTGAACAAGGCAATAATAGCAAGGACCCTGATAGTGTGTGCCAGGGCCCTGTGTTATATCCCTTTAACCTCTTACACTGAATGCAGGAGCTTCTTTATCTTTGTTCCTTATTTTTCTGTTTTGAATTCCTGATTGTGAATTGCATCTGTAATCCTTGCCATTGAGAGCTCTGTGTTGGATCATGATAGTATGTGGAGACTTCTTATATATGTATGATGAAACATTACCATTTCTTTTTTTTGTATGTTCTCTCTTTCTTGGACAGGCAGAGTGGACAGTGAGAGAGAGAGACAGAGAGAAAGGTCTTCCTTTGCCGTTGGTTCACCCTCCAATATCCGCCGCGGCCGGCGCACCGCGCTGATCCGATGGCAGGAGCCAGGAGCCAGGTGCTTTTCCTGGTCTCCCATGGGGTGCAGGGCCCAAGCACCTGGGCCATCCTCCACTGCACTCCCTGGCCACAGCAGAGAGCTGGCCTGGAAGAGGGGCAACCGGGACAGAATCCAGCGCCCCGACCGGGACTAGAACCCGGTATGCCGGCGCCGCTAGGTGGATTAGCCTAGTGAGCCGCGACGCCGGCCAACATTACCATTTCTGATTGAATTTTTGTTAAATTTCATTTAAGCTCCTTTTAATTGAAAAAAGTTCTTAATTTCTTATTCATTTTTATTTATTTGGAAGGCATAGAGACAGATGAACATAGTTATTCCATCTGCTGGTTCACTCCATAAATACCTGCTGGGCTAGACTAGGCTGAATCCATGAGCTGGAAACTCCATCCTGGCCTTGCACATGAATGGCAGGGAACCAAGTACTTGAGCTATCACCTACTGCCTTCCAAAATGCACCTTGGCAGGAAGAAGGAGCAAGAAGCAGAGCCAGGACTTGAACCACAGCTCTCCAATACAGGACGCAGGCATCCCAAATGGCATCTTAACTGCTGCACCTAACACCCACCCATAGACATTTATGTAAATAGTATATTTTAACAGACAATGAGAAAAATTAGATTTATTTTTAAAAGTCTCAGATTTATTAGCTAAACTGTTGCTTAAATAAACAGTATAACCAGCAGTATGAACCAATAACCTAATATATGTAAGTTTCCCTACTCCTAGGAAATATGGTTGAAGTCATAAAACTAAATTCAGTGGTAAAAAAAGACAGAAATTAGACCAATTATCAGGCAAACAATATATTGAAGTGATCATGGGGGTGGATTATCCCCAGTCATTCATGTGCAGAGGGATTTGCTGGTTATAGTAATGAAATCTAATTTTGTTGCACATGGGAAAAAAGAAAAGCTAGGCTAAGAGTTGTGATAGAATACTTACAAACAAAGTTTTCTTTGTGGTTACTTTACGGTTATCTGAAAGCCATACATCTACCTGTAAATGTTTTTTAATTAAAATTGATCCCGAGTTTAAACACTTTATGTACCTGAGAGCAATTTTTCACTTCAAGATATCTGGGGAGAGTTAAAAAGGAACATTAAAACCAGACACAGTAAGACTCAGTTTTGGAATAAACTAACAATAACTATGGAGTACTGAGAAAGGCACAACTACTCTTTTTCCCTTAATTTTTCTATCAGAAGGAATAATTGCAAAAAATAGTTAATTGAATAATTTATACAAAATAAATTAATCTATAAATTTGAGCTCATAAAACGAAAAATGCATTCCATTTCAGGTAAGCTATTGTATTGTCTTTGCTAGGTCAGGATTATGATTAAGACTTTGCACCTTTTTGTTAACTGATTAAAACACAGATGTCAGGGGCTGGCATTGTGGCACGGCGGGTTATGTGGTTGCCTGCAGTGCCAGCATCCCATATCAGAGCTCCAGTTCAAGTCCCAGCTGCTCCACTTCTGATCCCAGCTCCCTGCTAATGTGCCTGGAAAAGCAGCAGAAAATGGTCCAAGTTCTTGGGTCCCTGCTATCCATGTGGGAGATCAGGATGGGGCTCCTGACTCCTGATTGTTCCTGGCACAGCCCCTGCCATTGTAGCCATTTGGGGAGGAACCAGCAGATGGAAGATCTCTTTCTCTCTCCCTCTCTGTCACTCTGCCTTTCAAATAAATAAATCTTAAAACACACGCAAAGTGCAATGACTATGTGTGTGTGTGTTGAGGGGATGGTGGTAATGGGAAAGGAAAGGGAATTGAAATTAACTTATAAAGTTAATATAATATGGATAATTTAGTAATGATATATAATTTCAGCATTTTTTAAAAGATTCCACCAACCTATCAGTTGAGAAAATATTTTCAGCACTTTTCACATTCTGATAAGTTCTAGTCATGTTAGAGAAATAGCTCCTCTATCTTAAATTTATTACTATACTATTAGAAATTGTTTCCCAAGCACCAATAGCAACAAGTATCAAATTAAAGTTCTCCATCATCCTAGTCCTGAAAATTTCTTCTAGGAAGTATTATTCCTTGCAAGATGTACAGAATCTAGTCCCTTAACCTGGGCTTAAGGGCATACAATAAAATTTCCTAAATCCTTTGTCAACAGTACAATTGACAATTGGGGCCAAAAATTCTTTGCAATGGAACTCTACCCTGTGTCTTGTAAGAAGGTTTGAGGCATCTCTGGCCTCACTCCACAGGATGCCAGTAGCAGCTCCCCAGTTGTGACAAACAAATGTGTCTCCAGACTCTACCATGTGCCCCTGGGAGATAAGTCAGGACAAATTCACTTCTGGTTGAAAATGACTGGTGTCAAAATTGTCAATGGTGAAATGAAACTGGAAGTGAAGCTGGGAGAGGGATAGAGATGTTCTCTCTGTTTTCTTAAGGATTCTTACCTAGAATGAAAGGGGAGATTATTTCTTGGATATTTATTCACTTTCTACAAATCTTACACTGTAGTGGTAACCTCATTAACAATACAAGTTCATTGAGCATGTGTGTGCTTATTGATAAAGACACCAGGATTGTCAGGATGAATAGGTCCCCTCTTTGATGTCCATTTTACTGCCATAACTCTGTTGTCTTTCTGAGTGCTCCTTTCCAAAGTCCATGGCAGTTCAGGCTCTGAGTGAAAGATGTTCTCCGATGGAGCCATTACGAACTCAAATTCAGGAGGAAATCCATATCTTACCATTTATTTGATGGCCACATTGCTTTAAGGAATGTCCAGAAATTGCATTTGTCTGATGCACTCTTGGCAAGGTTCCTGTAACACTGTCTTTCAAGAAGCAGCCAAACCTGTTTTAAAAAGTAGCTCCACTTAGGAAGTAGAATAATAAACATGCATTAAGAAAATGTCTAGCATTTTCTGTACACTAATACAAATCAGGGAATAAGGAAAATATACCGTTGCTCTGATACTTGCTGGAGGGACCATTTTTAAAGGAAATTCCATAACATCTAATGGCCCCTGTGATAGCTCACCTGAGCATTGATTTTCTTCATACTCATCGATTTTTAAGTACAAAAAGCTAATTAAAGAGTCAGTGATACTTCTTGTGTTCCTAAACTTTGGAGAAGTTATGTTCCCAACAGGTGAGTGTTTTAGTAAATACTTTATATTTGCTTAAAAATTATGTCAGTCATAAAAGTTGAATCTTTGAACGGTGTTCACCTTGCTTATTAATTCCTTATAGTCTATGCTTAATGGAAGGCTTATTTTTGTTTTTAATGTTATTCTTACTGTTATTTTCATTATTTATAAGAAGTGTAGACTCTAACTCAACTTTTAATGAGGATACTCATATACAGTCTGCGTTTTCTCTACAAGTTTAATATGTAAGATCAGAGAATAATCATCCAATTTCTAGTTTTTAAACACAAAGTGAGTGACCCTGATTTATGGATACAGAAAGGGAACAATAAAAAATTCATTCTGAATATTGATCAAAATGAAAGAAAATTAAGGTGAATTGTGGCTGCATCTTCATTACCTAACAAGATTTTTAATTGCCAGCTATTTTTAAAATACTCATACTTTTCCAAATGACAAGCCAACTGTACATATTCACAAGCATACAAACTCCCATAGATACATGCATACAACACAAGTACTATGGGTGCCCAAACTGGCTTACCTAGGCACCATTCAGAATTAGCGTATCCCAAGGCTGCAATTTCTGTATCTTACTAATTCTATTCACAACAAAATCCTTGTCTAAATTTATATTTTCTTAAGGCTGTACCATCCATAACGATAATATACACTGGACAGTTAAGTGCATTTTCTTATTCAGGTGAAATATTCATCTGTTGTTAGACTCTTTCTTGAGACAGTGATGATTTTCAGCCATTTTTCTTGAAGACTTAGAAGTTGGTTAGCTTCTGAGATGGTGTTTGGTTTAGCAGTTAAGACACTGCTTTTGGCACCTGCATCTCCTATTCAAGTTCTTAGGTTTGAATCCCAATTCTACTTCCAATCCAACTTCATGCTATTGGACCCCGTGGGAAGCAGCAGGTAATGGCCCAGGTACTTTGGTCCCTGCCACACATGTGCAAGACCTCTAATGAGTTCTAGGTTCTTGGCTTCTGCCTAACTCAGCCCTGGCCACTGTGGGCATCTGTAGTGAATCAGTGGATAGAAGATACTCTCTCTTTCTGCCTTTCAAAACAAATACATCGATTAATTTTTAAAAAGGAAAATCCGGCGCCGCGGCTCACTAGGCTAATCCTCTTCCTGTGGCGCCAGCACCCCAGGTTCTAGTCCCGGTCGGGGCACCAGATTCTGTCCCGGTTGCTCCTCTTCCAGTCCAGCTCTCTGCTGTGGCCCGGGAGTGCAGTGGAGGATGGCCCAAGTGCTTGGACCCTGCACCCCATGGGAGACCAGGAGAAGCACCTTGCTCCTGGCTTCGGATCGGCACAGCACCGGCCACAGAGCACCAGCCATACCAATGGAAAAAGGAAAACCTTTCTCTCTGTCTCTCTCTCTCTCATGGTCTGACTCTGCCTGTCAAAAAAACAAAAAAAAAAAAGGAAAATGCAAATGACTAGCCTCTTACACTTTAGCATGGCTGAGGAATGTCCTGCCAGCAGGCTATACAAGGCCCACACAATCATTTGGTCTGGCCTTGCCTAGGCAACTGCAGGTGAGATTCAAAATTCAATACATCTATGGCAGACTAACTTTTAGGTTGATAATCTTATATGGCCCACGAATGATGTTATAAGTATCCAAATGGTCTTTGGCAGAACAAAGGTTCCCCAACCCTGGATGAAGGTATGCAAGCCAAAGAGACTATGGATCAGTAGATCTGGCATGTGGCCTAGGAACCTGCATTTGTGGGAATCTAGGGGATTCTGATGAAACTGATCCTTGAACCCCATTTGAGAAACAGCCCTGTGATTTGCTACACCTTTTTGCACACAACTGACACCATTATGAGAAACTATTGGCTTCACCAATATCAGCTTTTACCTTTTCTGGGCATCATTGGTTGAACTTGCTGGAAGAAAACTGAAGAACAAACACCTGGGGTGGAAGGTGCACATCATCTGACAGTGTTGGGCATTCGGGCTGTACATGGAAGTCACATCCCCACCTCTGAAGAAGGCATTCTTGTATAGTTGAGTCAGACACCCTATGATGGAATCATTGAAAAATTAATTTGGAATGAGTGCAAATAATCTTAATAGAAATGCCTCTGTAGTCTTAACCTTCTCATTTCTTCTGCTGATGACTTAAAGAGCTTTACAATGTGACTCCAATTATAGAGGCTGAATAAAATATAATGAGGAAACTATTTGAACAATGTATAATATTATTGAATACTTTTGGTGCTTCTGTATAAAACACTTGGTTCATTTTCATTAAGTCATACAATAATTTGCACATGAATTACCCGCATTAAAAACGCAAACCTCGCTTGATTTTCTCCCATTGCCTAACGTGCTATGAAAATATCCTGCCTTAAAAACAATGATATTTGGTCTATTATCAGAAAATTTTCATAACAAAAATATTTCTAGTATCTCACCACTTAAGCTTGAGGTAGGTTTATTACATACATTTAACTGTTTTTTATTTTGTTTTATTTTTTATTTTATTTTATTTGGAAGTCAGAGTTACACAGAGAGAGAAAGAGAGGCAGAGAGAGAAAGAGAGAGAGATATTCCATCCGCTGCTTCACTCCCCAAATGGCCACAATAGCCAGAGCTGTGCCTATCTGAAGCCAGGAGCCATGAGCTTCTTCTGGGTCTCCCACACAGGTGCAGGGGCCCAAGGACTCGGACCATCTTTCACTGCTTTCCCAGGCGATAGCAGAGAGCTAGATGGGAAGTGGAGCAGCTGGGACTTGAACCAGCACCCATATAGGATGCCAGCACTGCAGGTGGTGGCTTTACCCGCTACACCACAGAGGCAACCCCTGTTTCTTATTTTAAAAAGAAGTTAAGTAACTAAATCTCAGAATGGATTGACTTGCCCGAGATCCGCACAGCTGATGAATGACCTGGGACATAAAGCCAGCACTTCTGATTTCCAGTCATTTCCCCCTTTCTATGACGCAATGTTAAATATGGATCCTCATCTCAGTTCAAGTCAAGAAAATGGACAGTTATTGCATATTTACTTCTTTTTACAAGCTCATTTGCATAGATGGTGTAAGCAAATGCATGCATAGACAAAATTGAAAATAAATTTAGAATTATTTGCTGATTGGAATTAATCACAGCTCCAAAGAACCCTTGAAACTCACCTATTATTAGAAAATTAAGTGTCTGGCTTTAGTAGGTAATTTAGGTTTACCATGAAAGACATTATTTCAAAGTCCACTTAATAAGCCTTCCAGCTCAGGTAGCATGTTTGTTTTAGTCAACGGTCTGCTAACCACAAAATATTCCAGTGACACACTTGTTTATCCCTTGGGACAGTAGGCACTCGTTTAAGTAGTATGTATTTTTTAATTTCCTTCAGAGATTGTGCAGCTTAGACAACATATATTTCATTAAGCACTGAAGACGAACATTTTCTTTGCTTCTCTGGGGGTTCTGACCCTGAACTCCATTACAAAAACTCAACAAGATTGCTACTCTTTCGCCCAGAAGTGTAGCTAAAATGACTACCTCTTTAGGTAGCATTTATATTCAGAAAGAGCACAGATCTCTTCAGATGGAAACTTCTGCGAATACAAACTCTCAAGTGTCTATACCTAGATTTCATAGATGCAGAAAACACTGAGTAATTGGTCCAGTGGCAACAGTAGTTATAAAGAGCCCATTTTTAGACAATGGATTTTTTTTGTCATTCATAAGTATCAAGATTCTTCCTGCCCATGCCAGTGCACATGCAGGGACACAAGAATGCCAGTGCCATTCTGTGATCCAGCCTTTGTGAACTGCCATGTGAGTCAGACAGTGAAAGGGAAGTACATCAGCTTCTTAGCTTAATGGAAGCAAAGTTATATTAGATGTTCTCACTTGACCTCCTAAGTTGGTAATGTCAATGATGGCAGTGATAGTCTAGTTTGTGTTATTTTTAGAGAGTGCATAAAGCACTGTTACATGTTAAATCATAAAACCCATGGCTTGCAAAGCTATCACATGGGCCTCCATGCCCATGCACTTTGGGCAAGTTATTCAACCTTCTTTGTAAAAATTACACAAGCAGTAAGGAGAAGAAAATCAAGGGCTGGTATTGCAGTGTCCTGGGTTAAGCTGCCATTTGCATCAGCATTCTATGTCGGAGTGCCAGCCTGAGTCCCAGCTGCTCTACTTTGAATCCAGCTTCCTGCTAATGTGTCTGGGAAGGTAGTAGATGGCCTAATTACATGGTTTCCAGCCACCCATGTGGGAGACTAGGATGGAATTCCTGGATGCTGGTTTTGGCCTGGCCTAGACCTGGTCGTTGCAGGCAGTTGGTGAGTGAAATGGCAGATGGATTATTTCTGTTTGTCTTTCTACCTCTGTCACTCTTTCAAATTAATTAATTAATTAAAATTAATCTTTAAGAAAATAAGGAGAATAAAATCACTATAATTTTTAAAGAAAAAAGAATCTAAGCGGTGAGAAATCTTATATACACAAATAGGTATAGAAGAAACTTTATTATTATAGTGACACTAAATTTTTAAACTCTTTCTCTGAACTGTCAAAAATCACATAATGATCCAATACTAAGAGTTCTGTCAACTCTATACTACAATAGGTCTCTTCCAACTTTGTTGAAAGTAAATAATTAGAAACAAAACAACTTAGTTAACAAATATGAAGAGATAAATTATAAAAGAAATATAAGTGACTAGTATGTATATAAGATATAGTAAGAATCACAAATGCAGGAGCCAGTACTGTGGTGTAGTGGGTAAAGCCATCATCTGCAGTGCCTGCATCTCACACGGGTGCTGGTTCAAGTCCCAGCTGCTTCAGTTCTGATCCACCTCTCTGCTTACAGTCTGGGGAAGCAGCAGAAGATGGTGCAAGTGCTTGGACCCCTGCACCCATATGGGAGAGCTAGACTGGAGCCCAGCTCTGACCATTGCAGCCATTTGGGGAGTGAGCCAGCAGATGGAAGACCTCTCTTGCTGCCTCAGCCTCTGCCTCTCTGTAACTCTGCCTTTCAAATAAATAAATAAATCTTAAAAAAAAAAAAAAAAAGAATCAAAAATACAGGTGATTTAATGCAACTAAATGCCATTTTTTCCACAAAATCAGTAAAAAAGCCTAAATCATGTAGTGACTTTGGTTATAAATGATAGAAAATGCAATTCAGAATTGCTTTAGTACAAATGGAATTTACTGATACAGAAACCAAAAATGTGATAGTGGTTTTGGCTTCAGGAATAACTGAACATTGTGATCAATCGATAGCATCAGTTTACAATTTTCTCCATCCGTTTGTTCTGTTGCCTGGTGTTGCCATTGGTATCAGGTTCCACAAAGTAGCAAGATAGTACCAGCAGTCAGGCCTTTGCAATCTCTTATATTTCAAGTCAATTTGGGGGTGGGGAAGAAAACTTGAGTCTTATTTCCGGAGTCTAAGCAAAAGCCTGATTGTAAGATTTTGGCTCTCATTGGGCCCTTAAACCAGCATGATGTGTAAACTTCCTGCTTTGAGTCTGACTGGGTCACAGGCTCCATCATCAGATGCCACATCACCAGAATTACATGGATGAAAACTGGGAGACAGCAGATCCTCAAAAATAAGTAAGGATCATATCTCTGGGTAGGTGAATATATGCAAGGCCAGGAAGTAGCATTAGCTCTTAGAGCTGACCCATGTAGGATAAATGAGCACTCTCATAGACTGACAGAAAAGTTCAAGTAGGAAAACTTCCTGGAAAATAATTTCATTATGTATGTCACAAAACCTTCCAAACCATTCACATCTATGTATTTAGTATTTTCACTTCTGAAATCATTCTACAGAAATAATTGAATATGTGTGCAAAAATGCACATACCAAGTTATCATTAAAAAGTAAGAGCAAAAACTCTAAAAAATATAATGCATATTTATTCACATTAAAAGATGGTTGTAAATGGAAATCATTTCCAATTAAGTATCTGTAGTTAACAGCTTTGTAAAATTTATAAATAAATCCATGTAGAAAAATATCTAAGACCAAAGAAATCTGAAGGACTAAACAGATGATTTAATTATTTATTTCAAAGTCCACAGGACAAAGAGAGAGGGAGAGACAGAGACATCTTCCATCTGTCAGTTCACTTCCCCAAATGGCCACAGTGGCAGGGGCTTGGCCAGTAGCTGGAGCTTTATCTGGGTCTCCCACTTGTGTGGCAGGGACCCAAATCCTTGGGTCATCTTCCACTACCTTTCCCAGGCCATTAGCAGGGAGCTGGGTAGGAAGTGGAGCAGCCGGGACATGGACCAGTGCCCATATGGGATGCTGGCATTGCAGGCAGTGGCTTTATCTGCTATGCCACAGCACCAGCCTACTAAACAGACGACTTTTAACAGTGTCTGTTTCTACATTTTAGGACTGCCTGTGATATATACTTCTCCATTTCTTCTTATTTACTCCTCTGATTTTCCTAGAATGATTTATTTGGAGAGAAGAGGAAAAACCTGAAGTGACCATGGGCCATAGCATCTCTTTCCCAGTCTTGAATGGATTTGTCAATAGTATTGATGGTGGCTCAGATAGGTAATTGGGTTTGAGGGAACAGATGGAGGGGCGTAGTGATTTGGGTGGGGTGGAAGACAAGCTCTTTCCTGGAGGAATTTTATTTCTTTACAAATGTAAACCTTACACACAGGTGTTGTGTTTTTCCTTAGTCATATATCTGAGAGGTGAGTAGAGAACCATTGTGGTGTAGACATCTGAAGTTGACATGATTCAGAATCCACCACTAGGGCTGCCACTGTGGTGCAGCAGATTCGGCTGCTGCCCGTGATTCTGGCACCCAACGTGGGCTCCAGTTGGAGGCCCAGCCGCTTCCCATCCAGCTGCCTGCTAACACACTGGGAAAGCAGCAGAACATGGCGTCAGTGCTTGAGCTCCTGCCACCGCAGGGGAGGTCCTGATGATGTTCCAGGCTCCTGGCATCTGCCTGGCCCAGCCCTGGCTGTGACAGCCATCTGGGATGTGAACTAGCAGATGGAAGATCAAGCTCATTCTTTCCACCCCCATCTCTGTAACTCTGCTTTTCAAATAAAAATAAGTAAGTTTTTAAAAAATCCATCCCCAGTAGTAGCACAGAGAAAACTCCACTCTACAATGGTTAATGAAAAACAGTGAATCATTCTAATTCTCTGAAAATTAATGGAGTGAATAGAGAAAGAAACAAGATGAAAGCCTGCTATTGCAAATGATTCACATTTAACTACTCAGAAAAATGGTCTACTAAGTTAAAGTTAAACTAGGTACTTTGATTTCTGAAATGGTTCCCTAGGAGAGTGAAAAAATCCATAACATGTACCTATCAGATACTTCGATTGCATCCTGACACCACCAAATGCCTAGCGTTCTTTAGAATTCTCAGGCAAAGTTTGTTTCTTAACATTGATGATATAAATAGAGGGCTGATTATTTTGAAATCTGCTTTGTAGAAAGTTGTGTCCAAACAGACATTTCTGTTTTCATGTGCCCTGAGACCTCATCACTCCTGGGCTCCCCCCGACTCTGCCGTGTGTTTCCAGGGCAATACATCTGGCAAGTGGTCCTTGCCACAAGACGTTGAAAGGATACTTGTCCTGAACAATCTTGGAAGCTTTCTCCAGGGGTGGTGTTTCTTGCTTCTCCTCCCCAATCCCTTCATTTTGTGCCTTGTAAATAATCCACTTACCACAGGAAACTGTAGTAAACAGGCAAACGAAATAAGCTGCCTGCCTGAATGGAATCATCCTAAAAAAGAAAACAATGCATATGTAACTGTGCTGACTTTAGAACATATTTAAAATGTATTTAATATGACCCTTAAGTTACCGTGACATAGATTTTTCTCATAAATGTCTGAATTACAAATCAAAGCATACAATCACCACTATAAAGAAAAGGGGGAAGGCTGGTACATTTTTGTGTCTAGGGACTTGGAAAATGTATTATTTCCAAGAAACAAATTAAGACCACTAGAGGACTATGGTTTTTATTGTTTATTTGCCACATCTATTGCTAGTAATCTTGGAGCGGTAATTGGGAGAGAAGAATTAAACAGCTATGAAACGTCCTGACTTAAGAAAAAGAAAATCATTATAAATAATGGTAATAACACACCTGTCCCAGCCGGCGCCGCGGCTCACTAGGCTAATCCTCCACCTTGCGGCGCCGGCACACCAGGTTCTAATCCCGGTCGGGGCACCAGATTCTATCCCGGTTGCCCCTCTTCCAGGCCAGCTCTCTGCTGTGGCCAGGGAGTGCAGTGGAGGATGGCCCAAGTACTTGGGCCCTGCACCCCATGGGAGACCAGGAGAAGCACCTGGCTCCTGCCATCGGATCAGTGCGGTGCGCCGGCCACAGCGCACCGGCCACGGGGGCCATTGGAGGGTGAACCAATGGCAAAGGAAGACCTTTCTCTCTGTCTCTCTCTCTCACTGTCCACTCTGCCTGTCAAACACACACACACACACACACACACACACACACACCTGTCCCTAATCCCACAAACCTCTGAAAATACTCAAGCCCACTTAAAAATTTTAAACCAATCACATATTATCTTTGATCTAAAAGTATTTCACATTTAAACATTCCCATGTACAAGAATACCATTTCCTTCTAGACTTTCTAAATACCCAGGAAAATGGAGCATAAGCTGATAGCTTCTTCTTAAAGTAAAAACTATACCTTAAAAACCCCCACTTTATTTGGAAGCTGAGAATGATAGAAATTTGCTACCTGAAAGCACAATTGCTTCTGTGGTTCTGGAGAAGAGGGAGTCTCTTGTCACTTAAAAATGAGCAGTTCTCAAGCCCTCCTAATGTGGCATTGCAGGCACTATTTACTTGTCTCCAATATTGACTTTAGGTTTCTGCCAACAGTTTCGGCTTTCTGTCCTGTCAACATATTCCATGATCATCCTATTCCTGGGTTCAGCTGTTTGATGTATTAACTATTTCATGAAGGGAAGTCAGTAAGGTGGTGGAATAGGAGTTTTCAGTATTCATCCTCTTGCCAAACAACTATCACATGGCCTGGGAAAGCAGTGGAAGATGGTCCAAGCGCTTGGACCCTGCACCCATGTGGGAGACCCAGAGGAAGCTCCTGGCTCCTGGCTTTGGATCAGCGCAGCTCTGGCCATTGTGGCCAACTGGGGAGTGAACCAGTGGATGGAGGACCATTCTCTCTATCTTTTCCTCTCTCTGACTGCAACTCTGCCTCTAAAATAAATAAATAAAATCTTTAATAAAAAGAAAAGCTAAGGAATCCAGGCGAGAGGTTATAGTACCTGCTTAGAGCATAAAAATGTGAAAAGATACATTAAAGAGTATAGGAAAAACATTTTTACATTACCTGCATCATCTTGTCCCTGAGCCTGGAAAACACAGTTTGGAGAGAAATACCCTATGCAAAGGGAAAGGAGAGTAACACGAGCACCAAACTTCACCACAGACCCCAGTACCAGGGCTGACCCAATCTCCAGGTTGTCTCCTGCAGATCCAGCCTCCAGGGCCACACTAGTGCCAGAACAGCCCCTGGGGTTCCAAGTTCAGGTCACCTCCAGATTGGACTTGCCTATGGGATTCTAGGCTCCAGGATGGTCTCCACAAACCCAGAATTTAGTCCTGCCCCAACCCCAAACTGGCCCCCACAATTCTAATCTCTAGGATGCACCTGAAGAATCAGGTCCCCAGGACTTCCTCAGGACCATGCCAAGTTCCATGGTCCTGTGTTCTAGCCAGCCCCATTTGGGCAGAGGTGCTAGGCCCACCATGATGGGCCCCAGTGCCAGGACAGCCTCCATGGATTCAGGAAATGCCTCCTTTCTGTGAATTTAGGTGCCAAGCAACTCCAGTGTCAGGCTAACCCCAGTAAATTCAGGCTCAAAATCTGTCCCAGTACCAAGTTATTCCCCTAAGATTTAGGCTTCAAGCAAATCTTTACACGCAAGATCCAGGGGGCCCCACTGAACCCAGGCCTTCCCCTCTCACTCCACTGATCCAGCCCATCCTAATGAACCCTGGCACCAGGCTGACACACACAAACCTAAGATCCAGACTCACCCCTGATGACCCAGGCAACAGAGCAGCCCCTGTGAACTCGGGTGCACCCATCCACTGACCCAGGAACCAGACCAGGATGCCCACGGACTCCAGCAACAAGTTTGCCCATGGGTCCTATGTGATGGCAGGCACCAAAACCCTTAATGGACAGGATGGTGAATGGTTTTCCCTGCTGAAGGCAGTCTGTGAAGAGTGGACTGGATACCTACTTCTTCAAATTCACAAGCCAAGCACAAGGCCACGAGAATCACAAACCAACAGAGGGGCATGACAGCACTGAAGGAACAGAATAAAGTAACTGGCCCTGAAGAAATGCAATGTACAAACTGTCTGACGAAGAATTTGAAATAACTGTTTTAAAGGAGATTAATGAGTTACAAGGGAATATAGAGAGACAACTAAACAAAAACAAGAAAATAACAAATGGACAACATGAGAATGACAATAAAGAGATGGAAACCCTAAAAAAGAACCAAATAGGAATTCTGGAACTGAAGATCACAGGACCCAATCAAGAAATTACATAGAGCTTTAAGTAAATTCAATACAGCAGAAGAAACAATCAGGAACATCTGAAACAAGCCATTTGAAATAACCCATTTAGAGAAACAAAAAGAAGCAAGCAAGCCTATAGGACTTATAGAACCCTATCAAGAAAGCCTTTATGCCTTATGAGAGTACTAGAGAAAAGAGAAAGGCTTAGCAAAGTAATTACAGAAATAACTTCAGTGAACTTCCCAAATCTGGGGAGGGAAATGAACATTCGGGTTTATGAAGCCTAAAGAACCCTGTATAGATTAAATAGAAAGGGATCTTTTACCAAGACACATTATCATCACCTTCTCCAAAGTCAGAGAAAATTTTGAAAGTAGCAAGAGAAAGGCAACTTGTTGTGTGGAATGGAGTTGTAATAAGATTATCAGATTTCTTAGCAGAAATCTTTTGGGTTGATATAAAAAACTGTCAACCAGGAGTATTTTACTTGGTGAGTTTGCCTTCAGAAAGGAGGGAGAGATAATGACTTTTCCAGACAAATATAAACTATGGGGGTTCATCATCACTAAACCTGCCTTACAAAAACTGCTGAAAGAAGTTCACAAAGTTGGAATGAAAGGATGCTAACTAACAACATGAAAGCACATGAAAAAGTTAAAACATTGTAAGAATATAGTCATATTCAGGGTACTCTAATACCATAATGTACAAAAATCACTTCTAACTCTAGTATAAAAGTTAAACTACCAAAGTATTAAAAATAACCATAGCTATAAAAATCTGTTAATGGATACATTATATACAAAATGTAAATTATAACATAAAATGATTATTATAAAATATTTTTAAGGTTCATGATAACCTTTAAGAAAAACATACAGTAGATTTCAGGAATAAATCAATGCAGGAATAATCTCTGAACATCAGGAGAGGGTGAAAATGACTGGCCCTCATTTCCTGTGTTCCAGTCCATGGGAACGATCACTCATGCTCTAAAGAATAATTTCATTTGAACAAATTATAATGTTCTTTTCTCTCAAAATTTCAGAAATAAAGCAAAACAAAACATGGGACCAAACAAAGGGGAGCTGTTCTTCAAAGAGACTTTATGTCTCCCTCCAAGTTTTTTTTATAACAATCCTGCAACCTGGTTGTTAAGAGAAATTCCAACTTCATCCAAATGTATTATTTAACTGGAATCCTTTGGTCACTATCTATTATTGGCTTGATTGTCACTCCTCTTCTTATCTGACCTCAACCAATTAAATGTAAATATCATCAAAATAGAAAAATATGTTACAATGCATAACTCAGGAGGAAAAAATCCTGCTTCACATTAGGATCACAAAATGCATGCACATGTTTCCATTTTTAAAAATGTGCATAACATTCCCAGTTATTTAGTGCTAGTCAGCTTAAATCTCATCCATCTAATAGATTTTTCCATCAGATCTGCCTACAGGCACACCTGAACAGGGGTTGTATAGGGACAACTCCTCCCAGGGGGGTTACTTCAGCAAATGGTGTCTGTGTCTTCCTATAACCCAACCAATGAATCCTAAAATATTAAACTTTTAGATACATAAAAAACTTGGTTGATGTTTAGGTCCTCCTCCAACCCAACCCAGGAAATGTGATACATCACAGTTGAGGAACTATAGTTCAAAGAAAATCTGGCTCAACACTTCCTTTTATAAATAAACTTTTCTTGGAATACAGTCACATTTATTCATGCATTGCCTATACCTACATTCATCTTTTTTTTAATTTTTAAATTTTTTAATTTTTATTTATTTATTTATTAACTTTTATTTAATGAATATCAATTTCCAAAGTACAGAATATGGATTACAATGGCTTCCCCCCCATAACGTCCCTCCAACCCGCAACCCTCCCCTTATCCACTCCCTCTCCCCTTCCATTCACATCAAGATTCATTTTCTATTCTCTTTATTTATTTATTTTTACAGGCAGAGTGGACAGTGAGAGAGAGAGAGAGAGAGAGAGAGAAAGGTCTTCCTTTGCCGTTGGTTCACCCTCCAATGGCTGCCACAGCCGGCGCACTGCGCTGATCCGATGGCAGGAGCCGGGTGCTTCTCCTGGTCTCCCATGGGGTGCAGGGCCCAAGTACTTGGGCCATCCTCCACTGTACTCCCTGGCCACAGCAGAGAGCTGGACTGGAAGAGGGGCAACCGGGACAGAATCCGGCGCCCTGACCAGGACTAGAACCCGGTGTGCCGGCGCCGCAAGGCGGAGGATTAGCCTAGTGAGCCGCGGCGCTGGCTCCTACATTCATCTTACAACTAGAGGTGAAAACTTGTGACAGATACAGTATAACCTACAAAGACAAAAAATATTTAGTATCTGACCCTTTACAGATAAAGTTGGCTGAAACCGCATGATAGCATTTTGTCATACAGTGTAGCGTTCCCTATTGGGATTATTCAACTGGAAAGAAACATTACGGTTTTCCAGGCAGCCTGGATCCTGCTCAGGAAGCTCTATTTTATTTTTAAGAAAGAGCCTTCCTATATATTGAAATACACCTCCTTACAACTACTATACCCCCACAGAATAATTTACTTCTCTTTTTGTGCTTTTTAAAATATTTAAAGACCTTAATCACTTGCCCACTAAATCTTCTTTGTTTTTTATTCAAAATTACAATACATCATTCTAACAAGTGAATTAGATTTTGTGCAAGTTGATTCATAAATAAATATTTTATGTAAATTACTGGAATGCCGAACTGTATTTGTTAAAAATGTAGAATAATGGTGCCAATAAAATATTTTCTGGCTGTAATGAAATAGCATCTATAAATATGCATGTAGCACTGATTTTAAATTCAGGATATCAACTGGTACACCAGCAATCAACAAAAGAGAACCCCTGCTTTATGCAGCAGAAGAGACTTTTAATTTTGGATCCCATCTGTTACCAGACTCAACAGTAAACAAGATGGCTGGGACAAAAGTAGCTGCCTTCAAATCATAGCAGAAATCCTCAGAGGGTGTTTGTTTCCCTAGATTATAAATTTTAACCTACTTAGGTATTCTTCTGTGTTTAGTTTAAATTTTTCTCATGCTGAAACATAAACTATTTTCTAGTAATACAATATATAAAACTAAAATTCGTTTGTGGATTCAGGAGAAGCAAATCAGAATTAAGTGGAAAAGATACAAATGGCAGACAGAATTCTAAATTGTTCTCCCAAATTTCCTAATCCTAGAGACTGAATGCAATGAGCTATCAGGTCTGTTGTGATTTTATTACTTGGCAAAAGCAATTTTGAAGATGTAATTAAGATTACTAA